TTTACTGTAGATCATATACAAGAAGGATATATGTACTGTAGATCACAGACATGAAGGATATATGTACTGTAGATCACAGACATGAAGGATATATGTACTGTAGATCAGACATGAAGGATATATGTACTGTAGATCATATACAAGAAGGATATATTTACTGTAGATCACAGACATGAAGGATATATGTACTGTGGATCAGACATGAAGGATATATGTACTGTAGATCAGACATGAAGGATATATGTACTGTAGATCACAGACATGAAGGATATATGTACTGTAGATCAGACATGAAGGATATATGTACTGTAGATCATATACAAGAAGGATATATGTACTGTAGATCACAGACATGAAGGATATATGTACTGTAGATCAGACATGAAGGATATATGTACTGTAGATTATATACAAGAAGGATATATGTACTGTAGATCACAGACATGAAGGATATATGTACTGTAGATCATATACAAGAAGGATATATGTACTGTAGATCATATACAAGAAGGATATATGTACTGTAGATCACAGACATGAAGGATATATGTACTGTAGATCACAGACATGAAGGATATATGTACTGTAGATCATATACAAGAAGGATATATGTACTGTAGATCACAGACATGAAGGATATATGTACTGTAGATCAGACAAGAAGGATATATGTACTGTAGATCACAGACATGAAGGATATATGTACTGTGAGATCAGGAAGGATATATGTACTGTAGATCAGACATGAAGGATATATGTACTGTAGATCATATACAAGAAGGATATATTTACTGTAGATCACAGAAATGAAGGATATATCTACTGTAGATCAGACATGAAGGATATATGTACTGTAGATTATATACAAGAAGGATATATGTACTGTAGATCACAGACATGAAGGATATATGTACTGTAGATCATATACAAGAAGGATATATTTACTGTAGATCACAGACATGAAGGATATATGTACTGTAGATCAGACATGAAGGATATATGTACTGTAGATCATATACATGAAGGATATATGTACTGTAGATCAGACATGAAGGATATATGTACTGTAGATCAGATACATGAAGGATATATGTACTGTAGATCATATACAAGAATGAAGGATATATGTACTGTAGATCATATACAAGAAGGATATATGTACTGTAGATCATATATGAAGGATATATGTACTGTAGATCACAGACATGAAGGATATATATGTACTGTAGATCAGACATGAAGGATATATGTACTGTAGATCAGACATGAAGGATATATGTACTGTAGATCATATACAAGAAGGATATATGTACTGTAGATCACAGACATGAAGGATATATGTACTGTAGATCACAGACATGAAGGATATATGTACTGTAGATCATATACAAGAAGGATATATGTACTGTAGATCACATACAAGAAGGATATATGTACTGTAGATCATATACAAGAAGGATATATGTACTGTAGATCACAGACATGAAGGATATATGTACTGTAGATCATATACAAGAAGGATATATGTACTGTAGATCATATACAAGAAGGATATATGTACTGTAGATCATATACAAGAAGGATATATGTACTGTAGATCATACACAAGAAGGATATATGTACTGTAGATCATATACATGAAGGATATATGTACTGTAGATTATATACCAGATGTACTGTAGATCACAGACATGAAGGATATATGTACTGTAGATCATATACAAGAAGGATATATGTACTGTAGATCACAGACATGAAGGATATATGTACTGTAGATCATATACAAGAAGGATATATGTACTGTAGATCACAGACATGAAGGATATATGTACTGTAGATCATATACATGAAGGGATATATGTACTGTAGATCATATACAAGAAGGATATATGTACTGTAGATCATATACAAGAAGGATATATGTACTGTAGATTATATACAAGAAGGATATATGTACTGTAGATTATATACAAGGATATATGTACTGTAGATCATGAACATGAAGGATATATGTACTGTAGATCACATACATGAAGGATATATGTACTGTAAGACAGAAGGATATATGTACTGTAGATCATATACAAGAAGGATATATGTACTGTAGATCATATACAAGAAGGATATATGTACTGTGGATCACAGACATGAAGGATATATGTACTGTAGATCACAGACATGAAGGATATATAGATCATACATGGAAGGATATATGTACTGTAGATTATATACAAGAAGGATATATGTACTGTAGATTATATACAAGAAGGATATATGTACTGTAGATCATATACATGAAGGATATATGTACTGTAGATCATACATGAAGGATATATGTACTGTAGATCATATACAAGAAGGATATATGTACTGTAGATCATACATAAGAAGGATATATGTACTGTAGATCATATACAAGAAGGATATATGTACTGTAGATCATATACAAGAAGGATATATGTACTGTAGATTATATACAAGAAGGATATATGTACTGTAGATCACAGACATGAAGGATATATGTACTGTAGATCATATACAAGAAGGATATATGTATGTACATATACAAGAAGGATATATGTAGGTACATGAAGGATATATGTACTGTAGATTATATACATATACAAGAAGGATATATGTACTGTAGATCACAGACATGAAGGATATATGTACTGTAGATAGATCTGTGATATACAAGATATATATGTACTGTAGATCATATATACAAAGAAGGATATATGTACTGTAGATTATATACAAGGATATATATGTACTGTAGATCAGACATGAAGGATATGTACAAGAAGGATATATGTACTGTAGATTATATACAAGGAAGGACAAGGGATATATGTATCCTGAGATCATCCAGACATGAAGGATATATGTACTGTAGATATATGTACTGTAGATCACAGAACATGAAGGATATATATGTACTGTAGATCATATACAAAGGAAAGGATATATGTACTGTAGATCATATACAAAGAAGGATATATGTACTGTAGATCACAGACATGAAGGATATATGTACTGTAGATCACAGACATGAAGGATATATGTACTGTAGATCATATACAAGAAGGATATATGTACTGTAGATCACAGACATGAAGGATATATGTACTGTAGATCATATACAAGAAGGATATATGACTAGATCATATACATAGAAGGATATATTTACTGTAGATCACAGACATGAAGGATATATGTACAGTGAAGGAGTACTGATCAGACATGAATGATATATGTACTGTAAGGATATATGTACAGACATGAAGGATATATGTACTGTAGATCATACATGAAAGGATATATGTACTGTAGATCAGATCATGTACTGTAGATCATATACAAGAAGGATATATGTACTGTAGATCACAGACATGAAGGATATATGGACATAAGGATATATGTACTGTAGATTATATACAAGAAGGATATATGTACTGTAGATCACAGACATGAAGGATATATGTACTGTAGATCATATACAAGAAGGATATATTTACTGTAGATCACAGACATGAAGGATATATGTACTGTAGATCAGACATGAAGGATATATGTACTGTAGATCAGACATGAAGGATATATGTACTGTAGATCAGACATGAAGGATATATGTACTGTAGATCATATACAAGAAGGATATATATACTGTAGATCATATACATGAAGGATATATGTACTGTAGATCATATACATGAAGGATATATGTACTGTAGATCATATACAAGAAGGATATATGTACTGTAGATCACACATGAAGGATATATGTACTGTAGATTATATACAAGAAGGATATATGTACTGTAGATCACAGACATGAAGGATATATGTACTGTAGATCATATACAAGAAGGATATATGTACTGTAGATCACAGACATGAAGGATATATGTACTGTAGATCACAGACATGAAGGATATATGTACTGTAGATTATATACAAGAAGGATATATGTACTGTAGATCACAAGGATATATGTACTGTAGAAGGATATATGTACTGTAGATCATACAAGACATGAAGGATATATGTACTGTAGATCATATACAAGAAGGATATATGTACTGTAGATCATATACAAGAAGGATATATGTACTGTAGATCATATACAAGAAGGATATATGTACTGTAGATCATATACAAGAAGGATATATGTACTGTAGATCACAGACATGAAGGATATATGTACTGTAGATTATATACAAGAAGGATATATGTACTGTAGATCACAGACATGAAGGATATATGTACTGTAGATCATATACAAGAAGGATATATGTACTGTAGATCACAGACATGAAGGATATATGTACTGTAGATTATATACAAGAAGGATATATGTACTGTAGATCACAGACATGAAGGATATATGTACTGTGGATCACAGACATGAAGGATATATGTACTGTAGATCATATACAAGAAGGATATATGTACTGTAGATTATATACAAGAAGGATATATGTACTGTAGATTATATACAAGAAGGATATATGTACTGTAGATTATATACAAGGATATATGTACTGTAGATCACAGACATGAAGGATATATGTACTGTAGATCATATACAAGATGGATATATGTACTGTAGATCACAGACATGAAGGATATATGTACTGTAGATCATATACAAGAAGGATATATGTACTGTAGATTATATACAAGAAGGATATATGTACTGTAGATTATATACATGAAGGATATATGTACTGTAGATCACAGACATGAAGGATATATGTACTGTAGATCAGACATGAAGGATATATGTACTGTAGATTATATACAAGAAGGATATATGTACTGTAGATCATATACAAGAAGGATATATGTACTGTAGATCACAGACATGAAGGATATATGTACTATGGATCACATACATGAGGTATGTACTGTAGATCAGACATGAAGGATATATGTACTATAGATCACAGATCTTAATATGTAATGTGAAAGACTTGATTTGTCCTTTTGTTCAGCAGATCACAGATATGAAGTCAGATGAACACTTCTCCGAGACTCTTCGGAACCTCCTTGACGACCACAAGAACAATGTCACGCTTCTAGCGGAGGGATTTGCAGAGTGTCGCAAACACATCAAGGTGAGCCAGTTAGCATTTGATTGAAGAATCAGTGATGTGAAGGTGAAGCATACTGCACTAGTAAATTGTGATTGAAAGAATCACTAATATCAGGAGGGGCTATAGCAACTGATTAAATGAATCCATTTCATCATGGCAAGACATAAATCACTTGAGTAAGGTGTTGGTTTAGTGAGAGGAAGGTGAAGGTCAAAATATGTCGAAGTTCAAGGTCAGCAGGTAGTCAAAGTTCGGGTTTTCATTAAACATGCTTACCGTATATTACCGTCTATAAGCCGACCCCATAGATAAGCCGACCCCCAAACTTGACCCTTAAAATCATTGTCAAAATGGTATGTTTCGTACATAAGCCGATCCACCGCGATGGGGTCCTAATCGCAACAAACACAGACCACAGACAACTGGCAGTTACTGATAATTATGACTTTGGTCCACATTATTCAAAGAATTCACAATTATAGTGCGTCTACTCACGCATCGAAATGAAGTGTGGTTGACAGAAAATGGATGATATATTTTGTTTTGCTAAATGTCATACTTATTGTAGCTGGACGATGTTAACATGTTAACAAACTGGCTTGCTTATTTTACCCCATTCCATGTGCGTACAACTTCCGCTTACCACGCTCTTGAGGGTACGTTTTTCTCCATCCGCGATAGCCCATTTCACATCATATTATCAACAATCACAAACTGATTACCGCCTCGTTTTCCTTGGACTGCTAGTTTACAGTTACTTCGTAAATATGTGTGGATTTAAATGGCTTGCTTATGTCACCCCATTCCATTTCCGTACAAGTTCCGCTTACCACTTTCATGAGGGTCCGTATAACCTTAGTGTTGATTATATATATTTTACATTCATAGAGCAAAACCTGTAATTAAAATTACACAATGCTAGGATATATTTCTTTGTGTTAAATAATAGTATTCTGTATTATATTTTACTGATGACTGCGTCAGATCTCATCCCATTATATTATTGTGCATGTTTGAACTTGATCGCTGGGAAACGTGTGGACAGCTGATTGCTATTTCCGGCTCAAATACACGTGGTAATCTCAATCCCTGCAAATGATACAATGCGCAGCAAAAACAACTTAGAACTTAAAAGGTAAATAATCTTGTCTAGTGATGTTTAATTGCAAATTTGATGTCTTTACTGACAAAGTTGTCTTCTGTTGTTTGTTCACGCAAAGTTTTCTTACCCCTGGAAAAAAGTTGGACGAAAAGCATAACCCATAGATAAGCCGACCCCCTTCTACAGACTGCTTTTTTGGGGTTCTCAAAATTCGGCTTATCTACGGTAATATACGGTATATCATTGTCACTTTCAGATTAATGGCTACCTATACAAGTATGACACGTAGTATTTGTGTGGAACGTTGTGATGTCACTGAAGTAAAGGCCTTAGACTGCATACATTTCAGCATTCCATCTACCTGAGGCTGACATTCTGTAATGTAACTGAATTCCTGTTTGACCCAGCTCACTCACTCACTCACTGATGGATTGTATTTCAGGATGAGGCCCTTATCAAAAGTTTCCTGGACAAGACGCTGACGTCTCGCCTGGGGATTCGAATGTTGGCAGAGCATCACCTCTCACTCCACTTGGAAAGGGTCAGTGTTTCAGTGTTTTCCTAGTGTTACGGCCTCATGCTGGTGTTACATCGATAGTCATACTCAGGCTATTGTCTAGCTTTGGAGGGCAGAACTTGACATTTGGAATCTTTGGTAAGGTCAGTTCAGTGTTTTCTTAGGACTTTGTTTAGACAGAATGTAATTTTGAGGATAATACTTTGAAATCAGTTTCTTTTTAGAACAGAATTAAGTATTCAATGTAATCAGTTAAGATCATGAATATTCAATTAATTAAAAATATTTTATTTAATTATTGTTGATACATTTTTATAACATTTCTAAATGTTAGTTCTAAAATAGTCCTATGAAAATACTGTTCCTGACATGTTAGGATGTAGGAAAGTTTCAGCTGATCTGACACAGTTAGATTATCTGTACTATACCATGTTGTTGTCATCCATCCATCCATAGTCATACGTCTTTGTTCAAGGGGCAGTGGAGTAGCCTAGTGGTTAAGGCGTTCGCTCATCACAATGAAGACCCTGGTTTGATTCCCCACATGTGCACATTGTGTGAAGCCCATTTCTGGTGTCCCCTGCCGTGATATTGATGGAATATTGCTAAAAGCAGTGTAAAACCCAACTCACTCACTCTGTTTATAGTTGAACATGTTTGGAAAGGTCGTTTTCTTTGGTGATGCATACACTTTGCCCCTGCCAGTTCAGGTGGTCCTTGTTCTCGTAACCCCTTCTTAGGGAAGGTTCTTCTCAATATTATTCAGGACGCAGGTGGCCCATTAGGCCATGCAGGGTTACTTCCCTTATTTGTGCCAGAATCCTATTATTGTGGGTTCAAGATCCCAGACTTGACCAGACTATGATTCTTGGCTAATCAGCACCATACCCCGGGTTGTGGTATCATCCAAGCTGTAATCACTTGGGATTTCAAAGTACCTCCAGTTGTGATGAAATTAAAACATTTTTCAAAGAAGTATTATCCCCAACGAAACACACACAGTCATTCTAAAGGCACAGGTCACACAGTTGATTGTTTCCTGGTTTGGATTCACCATACTGGCAAACAAGGATGAGTTGGACAGGCGCAGAGAACTCGTTTACGAGAAGTAGGCGGTGCACGGCAATGAGCAGACCCATGTGGTTTGTGTAAGGTAGAGCAGATGTAGGCCAGTGCATGTGCATTGCATGACGATGGAATTGATTCCGCATGTAGCTGCACACGCCTTGCTCATAAGACTCTAACGTCAGTGTAGCAAGTCGCACTTCACTTGATCGCGGACAACCTGGGGCCACTTCGCTAACAATGGCAAGCGCCAGTGGGCGGCACTCATACATGCTAATACGGGTCAGTTGTCAGGTCGGTGCTCAACTTATCTGTGACGTGGGTGATTGCGTGTCTTCATGTTACCATCATGTAGATGTCATTCATGTTATCAATCACTGGTTTACAGATCCAGACTTATTCCCTCTCTCTCCTGTATTAGTTGATTCTGACTGAAGCTGTGTGTTACTATAATTGATGGTTTGGTCCTTGCCTGCGAATGCTGTCGCCATCACTGATGGTTTGGTCCTAGCTAGTGAAGTATGTCGCCATCACTGATGGTTTGATCCTTGCCTGCGAATGCTGTCGCCATCACTGATGGTTTGGTCCTAGCTAGTGAAGTATGTCGCCATCACTGATGGTTTGATCCTTGCCTGCGAATGATGTCGCCATCACTGATGGTTTGGTCCTAGCTAGTGAAGTATGTCGCCATCACTGATGGTTTGGTCCTGGCTAGTGAAATCTTGTCGCCATCACCGATGGTTTGGTCCTGACTAGTGAAGTCTTGTCCACGATATTTTATGGATTAAACTTCTTTTTAATTTCTCTCACAACGTCTCGAGACCATTCCAGGTCCCTTCATCAAGTGAAGTCTTGTCGCCATCACTGATGGTTTGGTCCTGGCTAGTGATGTATGTCGCCATCACTGATGGTTTGGTCCTGGCTAGTGAAGTCTTGTCGCCATCACTGATGGTTTGGTCCTAGCTAGTGAAGTCTGTAGCCATCACTGATGGTTTGGTCCTAGCTAGTGAAGTCTGTAGCCATCACTGATGGTTTGGTCCTGGCTAGTGAAGTCTGTAGCCATCACTGATGGTTTGGTCCTAGCTAGTGAAGTCTGTAGCCATCACTGATGGTTTGGTCCTAGCTAGTGAAGTCTGTAGCCATCACTGATGGTTTGGTCATGGCTAGTGAAGTATGTCGCCATCACTGATGGTTTGGTCCTGGCTAGCCATCACTGATGGTTTGGTCCTAGCTAGTGAAGTCTGTAGCCATCACTGATGGTTTGGTCCTGGCTAGTGAAGTCTGTAGCCATCACTGATGGTTTGGTCCTAGCTAGTGAAGTCTGTAGCCATCACTGATGGTTTGGTCCTAGCTAGTGAAGTCTGTAGCCATCACTGATGGTTTGGTCCTGGCTAGTGAAGTCTGTCGCCATCACTGATGGTTTGGTCCTGGCTAGAGAAGTATGTCGCCATCACTGATGGTTTGGTCCTGGCTAGTGAAGTATGTCGCCATCACTGATGGTTTGGTCCTGGCTAGTGAAGTCTGTAGCCATCACTGATGGTTTGGTCCTGGCTAGTGAAGTCTTGTCGCCATCACTGATGGTTTGGTCCTGGCTAGTGAAGTCTTGTCGCCATCACTGATGGTTTGGTCCTGGCTAGTGAAGTCTTGTCGCCATCACTGGTGATTCTAGCTATGTGTATGGCATCATCAGTGATTGACAGTCGACAGTTGGAAGTTGTGTGATTTGTGGTTTGCCATAGTAGGATTTCCAACATGGTAGTTATTTGTGTTAGCACTGTATTATTGCAGCTGCTAAAGAACTGAAGTTATTGTTTGAAAGTTAATATGTAGCTGTGTCTGTGTTGCTAGGATACACACACCACCACCCATCCCCTCTTCACCCTGTTTCTGTTATGCTGGTTGTAAGAAGTGTAGGTGAGCTGCTGAACCTGAAGCACATGTTCCAACATGACAAAGTTTTCACTGAAAAATACAAAGTCTGTACATACTTAACACAGCAAGTTAAGGATCATTAATATTTTGGGGAATATTGTTACGAAATTGTTTTAGGTCTTCACTACAAACCAATGTTCCCCAAAATATTCATAAACTCTGACTTTTGTTAAGTGTATATTTAAATATGTTCATGAGGTCATAATATAAAAAAATAAGTTACATTCACAGCCATTACATACCTCCAAATATAAGAATATTTCTGGTTGAATTCTGTTTAAAACACTGGGAGATTGTACTCCACCATGGCACCATGAGATTGCCAGAGCTGTACTACATGCATGTCCGTATGTCTACCATGACTGCATGTTCTGCCCCCAATATGCTAGATAACATGTATTCTCCACAGCCAAACCATGTGGGCATCATCAACGTTGGTTTCTCGCCGAGAAAGCTTATTGAAAAGAAAGCCGAATTTGTAAGGTAAGCTTACGGGATGGAGAGGCAGGTGCTTGTTCACATTTCTCCTTTGTCAGCTGCAGTAGTGGTAGAAACTATCTCTAGACGAGACCGTGTAGGTTGTGTAAGTTCTTTGGTATGTTAGTATTCCAGCATCTTTGATAATGACCTTTACATTCATCCTATTTATACCTGATTATGACTCACACATGCAGCATGATATTAAACATTCAGGGTGTTACACCCACAGGTTGTAGAGTCTGGAACATTCCAGATACCATTCATAACACAGTTATGGCGATATTTCACTGATACGCGGATTTCCCGGGATTTTATTTCAAATTGACCAATTCTGTAAATCTTCTCAACCCCCATTCGAAGTTTTCAGCTGACGATAGATTTTCCTGTAGCCATCCCTGATAACAGATCACAGGTTGTAGAATCTTGGACATTCCCAGATCAATTTCTTTAATAACAGATCTTAGCTCTGATATACCTGTCTTCTTGAAGATCTGACAAAAACTATCAGTCATTGAGTCTAGACATATGTAAATTTCTTGTACAACTGAAATGAGTCTTGTGGATGGTGAATCAGTCGGTTGCCTCAAGGGGATAATACATGAGTGGATACTCTGGAACAATATGGGTCCCAAGGACCTCTATTGCTGATAAATAGCAAATCTCCCTTCGAGGTAGTCCTAGTGTTTGTGTCAGTCTGAAGCTGATTATAATACACACATTACTTTCTCGTGTATACTGCACACAGATGTATACTCATTAATGCACTTTACTGAGAAAGTGTGTTCCCAAATATAACATGTCATATGGTGCACCCCATACTCATGTTGCATGCACTTTTAATGCACCGCACATACTTGGGTACAAGTCTAATATGTATTTGACTTCAATATTTTTAACATTTGTGGAGGTAGCTAAATGCAGAGTGACCATTTTCTGCGTTTAGCACTGTATATAACAAACAAAACATGTATAGCCATCACAAAGCAAATTCTTACAAGTAAATGCTTGAAAAATAATAACTCCACAAACTTCTTTTTTAGTGTCTTTCAGTGGCATTTAGAAGTTGTACATTGATGTCCAAGATATTTTTATGGATTAAACTTCTTTTTTAATTTCTCTCACAACGTTTCGAGACCATTCCAGGTCCCTTCATCAGGTGAACTGGCAGTTAGGACTATGACGTCGTCACTATGACGTCATAACTGAGTTATGACGTCACAATGCAAGTGACATCACAGTACACTAGGGAGAGTACTGTATAAGTGAGTTTGAAGAGTTAATTACATAATGATGAAATTCATGCTAATACACAACAACTGCTAATAACACAAAGGTTCCTTGATAGCAGGCTTTCCAAAAAGAATAGTAGACTCGTTTTTTCTTGTATCTAAAGTTCATCAAAAGTTCATCAAAAGTTAATCAAGAGGTCCCACTTATACAGTACTCTCCCTAGTGTACTGTGATGTCACTTGCATTGTGACGTCATAACTCAGTTATGACGTCATAGTGACGACGTCATAGTCCTAACTGCCAGTTCACCTGATGAAGGGACCTGGAATGGTCTCGAAACGTTGTGAGAGAAATTAAAAAAGAAGTTTAATCCATAAAAATATCTTGGATACTTTTTTAGTCATTAAAACCAAAAATGTATTGTCCTTTAAAATGTATTGTCGTTGAGGACAATAAGACAAGAACCATCAGCCAGTCAAGAATCAGTAGTCTGTGAGTTAGCTGAATGGGAATATAGATTGCTTGGTTAGACAGTCTCATGCCATGAAATTACTTGCTGTTTATTGATTATTAATTGCTGTCTTTTGTATATTGTGTTGTCAAAAACTACTCCATACGGGCTCAGGTGATTGTGGTGCTTGGGAAGATTTTGAAAGTACATGTAGATAGCTTGGTTTTAATTTCCCGGTGGTGATTTCAGCACAGAAAACTTCCATGTTTGTAGCAATTGACCAGAAAGAAGAATACAGGTTGTTGTGTGGTTGTTGTGTGTTGCCAGGACTTATGTCAATGTTCACCAGTGACAGAGTTGTTACTTGAACCAACCTGTTCAAATCTGGATGATACTGGAAATAGCTAGATGTATCTGGAAGTAGCTAGATGTATCTGGAAGTAGCTGGATGTAGCAGGACTTGCTACCATGAATGTTAAATATCTGGAATGTCACTGAAATGTTTTGGGGAAATATCACTATACTCATCTCCCCATCATCTCTGGCAACTAGAAACTTGTAAATATATTTTCATTAGCCATGTATTCCATGTGCTTAAACACAGCTGGACTGGAAACACTTCTGTTCTCAAACTTTTGGGCAAGAAAAAAATCATTGCAGTTTTGTTGCAAATATCAGTTTTCCTAGACTTGTTAGGTCAAGTCCTAAGAGAAGAAATATTTCATTTTAGAATGTATTTATAAGTGTTGAAAGTGTGGAAATTATGTGCTCTGTAGTCGGATTTCAAAACAAAAATATTTTGAGTTGTGACGTTTCATGATGTTTTGCAGCTATATGGATACGTCAGGAAGCAGTCAGTCTTAAAGCTTTCCTCATATGGTTAACCCTACAACAATAACATGGAATAAGTTGCTGAGTGTGTGAAAGGACCTGTGATCTTGACATTGTGAATCGTGAAAATACCATTGTAACAAGCTTTTAAGTGTAACATCCTGTTTGATATACCAACAGTACTTTCTACATTAATTAGATCAATTAAAACAAAAAACTGGAATTTGTAGAAATTCATGTTCTGTCAACGTTTGTAAGCGTTAGATTTACACACGTCTTGTAGTTGGTTTGATATGTACTCATGGAAATAAATAAGGGAACACCTGAAAGTACAAGTTTTCCTTTATTCTTTTCGAGAATTTCACCCACAGTGCAGTACAAAGCTTGTGAAAAAACCTGGAAAAGAATAAAGGAACACTTGTACTTTCAGGTGTTCCCTTATTTGTTTCCATGAGTATATTTCAAATGGAACTGTCAGCATATAATAACAAGTTAACATTACCATTAAATTTGATCATTTGTTAGACTTTTCTTTTCAATCTGTTTTTGACAACATTCTTCAAAGTTGACTGTTGAGGTGGGACATCAAACATCCAGACACCCACGTCCCTCACCCCCAACCTCGTCCCTCACCCCCAACCAAAACTTGAATAGTCTTGCGTCACACACCCAGTGTAGATCATTCATTTTAAATATAATTTTGGTGACATCAGATATTAATTCAATTGTATCATTAGATAAAATTCACTCCAGGTGTTTTTGAATATAATTCACTATACAGTTGTCACAATTTTCCGATTATTTATGTCGCATTTTAAAGTTAATTTTGTCAATTTTTGGATTAAGTATGCCCAAAGTTATTAATATCTGCAAAGTTGCCATTCTGAGTGTGCTTGCCCCACAAATTACCTCACAGCTATTCATAAGATAGTACTAAAACTTTCATAGTAATTATAAATAATAATAAATTTCCTTGTAAACACAGCCCTTTGCCCTGTCCAATGTTTTAGAGTTACCTCCCCTCAAGGAGACTTTTTACCTCCACCACTGCACATGAATCTGGTCTGAGGCTTGTCTGCACTCGTCACTGAGACATACTCCTTCCTGATATATATGTTACTAAGTTTTTGAATGTAACAAAGAAACAGAAACCAGTACTGTAACTGAAAGAAATAATCTCCTATCACTGGACAGGGCTCGATTTAGTGCTTTGTTACTCGCACTGGTGCAACCCAATATTACAAAGTGCAACCTAGTTATTAGTCTAACTTGCACCAGTTGCAAGTCAATTTTTGAGTGGGTAAACTTCTGAATAGAAATCTAAATAATTTAGCACATGTCTTTCATTACATGTATATTGCAACAAAAGCATTGCAACTGGAATTTGGCTGGTGCAACTAGGTCTTTATCTTAGGTTGCACCTGGTGCAAGTAGGTTAACATCTGTTAAATCAACCCTTGTGGACCCCTGCAGGATTCATTTTTAGAATAAATCCTCATCGACCTGCCGTGGACTGGGTGCTCAGTCTCAGTGGTGCAGTTGGTAGCCATGGATTGTTCACATAATGTCAATCACTGTTTGTTGTCGGGTCCAGACTCAAGTATTGGCAAGCCTCTTCTATATTGCTGGAATACTGGGGAGTACAACAAACATATGCATTAAACAACAAACAAAGCAGGCAAAATTATTAAAAAAACAACAACTTATTAATGTGGTTTGAAACTTCAAGTCCATTCAGTAGAATGTGCAGCATGTTGCACCACTATTATGTCTTTGTTTTACATGAACACCTCTTCTCTAAACATGCAGCATATGTTCACATATATATATATACAATAAAAATAAATTTATTATTCACAGCATAGAATTACGTATTTGTATGGATGTATGTATTCGTGTAACTTAATCAGAAGATATTTTCATTCATTGTAATTCTAACCGTAGAGCCAATATCTTTTGCCATTGTGATCATGTAAATATATAGTATGTGATAAATGAAACTAGTGCAGTGTGAGATTATAACTAATGATTGCAACAGTTGTTTTGTAATGGTGAAGGAGAGTATGGTGTGGTCTGTGTTGGGTGATTAACACAGACAGAGCAAATGTTTTCTGGAAGTGTAGATCTTGGAGGCCTGGATAAACATTTTAGATTTGCATAAACTGGGCTTTCTTGCAACATTAAGCTAACAAGTCATGATATTACTTGCATACTGTTCAAAGTGGCATTTAACTCAACTCACTCACTCACTCGGGCGGTCTACTTGCAATCATTGATGAAACTAACACATTATAGCCTGGTTGATATAACCACGAATTGTTAACAACCTGGGGAGTAACTTCCATATCGGCAGATAGAACTGACATTCAGTATCCATGCCTTTGTCCCAGAGCCTTTTGCAACTCATCACTGACCTCATCATATTGTGACTGAACTGAGTGGACATCAAGAATGTTTCAGAGCATGAGGAGTCACATCAACATGCCCTGCATGGTCTAGAGATTACTTGTGTTTGAGGAGACTTAGTTTGAATGCTTTTTTAGTACGAGACAGTGACAGAGATTACAGTGACATCTAGAGTTACAGTGACATCCTATTTACAGCTACAGTGACATCCCTTAGTTACAGTGACATGTTAGTTGAGCGACACTCCTAAAGTTACTCAAACAATGCCCTAGTTAGGTGACACCATTAGTTACACTGATATAACTCTAGTTACAGACACCTGTGTTACAGCCATGACACCCTAGTTACAGCAGTAGTTACAGTGACACAAGTTACAGCTGCCATCCTAGTGCGCAAATGACATGAGGCTTTTACAGTGGATGTTTCATGCTTGAAATGAAGCGAGTTCAGCAAACAAAACAATATGGCCATGTTTCACCCAGTCCCAGAATCCATAGTCTAAAGCCTGAGACTAGTAAAATCTCTTGTGTACCAGTCCATACACTAATGCTATATTCTTCTGAGAATTCTGTTGACATACTGGGAAGTGGACTCAAAATATTTTCAGCCCAGACTGCATGTATGGAAAGTGAATACTACAAGGTAGTGAGGGTACAGTGAATCCGTAGTCAGGCTTGTTGTGTGTTCCTGTTGAGTCACACAAGTCGAGCATGTTTTGACACAGCTTTCTTTTTTCAGGGATGTGTGTATTGCCAAGTTTGGCAAAGCGCCTCACGTGAAACTGAACGGTCATCTGAATGCTACGTTCCCCTACATCGCACCTCCCTTGGACTACATCCTGACTGAACTCATCAAGAATGCTATGAGGTGAGACACCAACACTGATAGAGATTACTTTGTTTTTATGGATATTTTTATACCTTAGCCCTTTTTGGACTTTGGCAGATATTCATGGTGAAGTTGCCAAGATATGGAAATGAGATGAGGCTTTTCAGTGGATGTTTCATGAGAGGGAAATGAAAGCGATTCTCAAACAAAACAATATGGCCATGTTTCACCAGAGTGGTGAATATCTGAGATCTCGAGCCATTCCAGCTATTCTCTCACGTCAAGCTGCTGTGCCAGGCTATAACCTGAATACTGTTCAAAGCCGTGTCAAACTTGGTTTCAGGGTAAATGTCGAGCCATATCCTCATGCCTTGCACCCAACTCATCGGCTGACTCCCTCATCATCCAGTTAGAACTTCAGCAACTGTTGTTTATCACTATGTTTCAGAGCAACTGTGGAGTCACATCTTGATGCCCTGCATGGTCTCCCAGACATCTACATCACCGTGGCCTGCAGTGAGGAGGACTTTGTCATCAGGTACGTCATCTTTACAGTGACATTAGTAACAGAGACAAAATAGTTGCAGTGACGCCCTAGTTACAGTGACACCCAAGTTACAGTGACATCCTAGTTACAGCAACACCCTAGTTACAGTGACATCTTAGTTACAGTGACACCTTTGTTACAGTGACATCCTAGTTACAGCAACACCCTAGTTACAGCGACACCTTTGTTACAGTGACACCCTAGTTACCATGACACCCTAGTTACAGCGACACATAGTTACAGTGACACCCTAGTTACAGTGACACCCTAGTTACAGCGACACATAGTTACAGTGACACCCTAGTTACAGTGACACCCTAGTTACAGTGACACTAGTTACAGCGACACCCTAGTTACAGCGACACCCTAGTAACAGCGACACCCAAGTTACAGCGACACCTTTGTTACAGCAACATCCTAGTTACAGCGGCACTAGTTACAGCGACACACTAGTTACAGGGACACCCTAGTTACAGGGACAACCTAGTTACGGCGACACCCTAGTTACAGGGACACCCTAGTTACAGCGACACACTAGTTACAGGGACACCCTAGTTACAGGGACACCCTAGTTACGGCGACACCCTAGTTCCGGCGACACACTAGTTACGGCGACACACTAGTTACGGCGACACACTAGTTACAGCGACAAACTAGTTACAGCGACACCTTAGTTACAGCGACATCCTAGTAACAGCGACATCCTAGTTACAGCGACAACCTAGTTACAGTGACATCCTAGTTACCATGGCACAGTTAGTGACACCCTAGTTACAATGACACTAGTTACAGCGACACACTAGTTACAGCGACACACTAGTTACAGCGACACCCTAGTTACAGCGACACCCTAGTTACAGTGACATCCTAGTTACAGTGACATCCTAGTTAGTGACACCCTAGTTAGTGACACCCTAGTTACAGTGACACCCTAGTGACAGCGACACCTTTGTTACAGTGACACCCTATTTACAGTGACACCCTAGTTACAGTGACATCCTAGTTACAGTGACACCTTTGTTACAGTGACATCCTAGTTAGTGACACCCTAGTTACAGTGACACCCTAGTTACAGTGACACCCTAGTTACAGTGACACCTTTGTTACAGTGACATCCTAGTTAGTGACACCCTAGTTACAGTGACCTAGTTACAGTGAAACCCTAGTTACAGTGACACCCTAGTTACAGTGACATCCTAGTTACAGTGACACCTTTGTTACAGTGACATCCTAGTTACAGTGACATCCTAGTTGCCATGACACAGTTAGTGACACCCTAGTTACAATGACACTAGTTACAGCGACACACTAGTTACAGCGACACACTAGTTACAGTGACACCCTAGTTACCATGACACCCTAGTTACAATGACACTAGTTACAGCGACACACTAGTTACAGCGACACCCTAGTTACAGCGACACCCTAGTTACAGTGACACCCTAGTTACCATGACACAGTGACACCCTAGTTACAATGACACTAGTTACAGCAACACCCTAATTACAGCGACACTCTAGTTACAGCGACACCCTAGTTACAGCGACACCCTAGTTACAGCAACACCCTAGTTACAGTGACACACTAGTTACAGCGACACCCTAGTTACAGTGACACCCTAGTTTCATTTACACCTAGTTACAGTGGCACCCTAGTTACAGTGGCACCCTAGTTACAGTGATACATCCTAGTTGCAGTGACACCCTAGTTACAGTGGCAGCATATTGACAGTGGCACCCTAGTTACAGTGAGACATCCTAGTTACAGTGACACCCTAGTTACAGTGGCACCCTAGTTACAGTGGCACCCTAGTTACAGTGATACATCCTAGTTGCAGTGACACCCTAGTTACAGTGGCAGCATATTGACAGTGACACCCTAGTTACAGTGGCACCCTAGTTACAGTGAGACATCCTAGTTACAGTGACACCCTAGTTACAGTAACATGTACTTACAGTGGCACCTATTGACAGTGACACCTTAGTTACTTGTCAGCAGTAACGTGCTGCAGTAGGCAGGTGGTATGAGGTATGAATACATCGGATGTTTTCAATGCCTTGTCATCTGGCCCTAGCTGATTTCAACACAAAACATCTGGACTGCCTGGTCCTGAATGTACAAGCCTCAGTCATATAGCTAGAATATTATAGTGTAGAACAACAAACAATACATCTAACCTGTTGACTACTGTTACTATAGCTGTTAGACTAATTGGGCTTTGTGTAGTGGTGTCAGTGTTTGGTAGCCTGTGGCTTCAGTATTCATCATTTATCTAGCAAACAGGTGAGATTGGTTTTCCTGCTGGCCCTCTGGCATGGGGCAGCCAAGAATAATGTTGGGCTTATTATCATGTGATCTTGTTTGGCCAGTTAGTCATTCTAGTCACTTTTTAATAAATTTTATGAAATTATGAAATGTAAAAAAAATGAATATTTTATGTTGGAAAACTAAACTTTCATCTGCTGGCTGTGCTTGACAAGGAAAGTTCTGTGTCAGTTATATCACAGGCTGCCAATATGAACTTTCCTGAAGATCAGATTGTCTCCCTTTGATGCTGTTTGCGGTTTGTAGGAGGCGTTCATGGAAAACAATGTCCTTGTTTGAAACAAGGTTTCATGGCCACTACCTGCCCCTTCGGCAGCTCAGTACAAATGGCCCTGAGACTTTCTTAACTTGTGGACTTAAGTGTTTTCAACTCGTCGCTCTGACAGTTTCTGGATTGGTAGACTAGACACAGGTAAATCGGAATCAGTTCACATCCATCCACATCTTAACAGAGTAGTTGAGTGGACTGGAAGAAGATATACACACTGACAGTCCAGCAACAGTGAGATTATTATCTCTGTTTCCAAATAGCCTAGCCAGGTTGCTGGGGCAGTGGGGTAGCCTAGTGGTTAAAGCGTTCGCTCGTCACTCCAAAGACCCGGGTTTGATTCCCCACATGGGTACAGTGTGTGAAGCCAATTTCTGATGTCCCCCGCCATGATATTACTGGAATATAGCTAAAAGCTGCGTAAAACTAAATTCACTCACTCACTAGCCAGGTTGCTGCTGCAGAACATCTCAGAATAACTGTTCAGTAATGCATGGTAAATCTACATCAAACTGTTTTTGGCTTTTTGATACAGTCTGTATCATTAATGGCCCAAGGCTAGTTGTCCTTTTACTATACAAATATGTTGTTCGTGGATATTATCATATTCATAGAAGCTTTTTGCCTCAAGATATTGTCATGATCATACTTACATGTACATGATTTAAATTTGCTTTTTAGAACATGAATATTGATATATAACAGATGTGCATGTAGAACTTACATTTTGAGTAATCACTTGTGTCTGTAGGTGTAGTGGGTGGTACAGTGGCATAAGGTGCTGTAGTTCACTGATCAGAGTGGTGTCCCTTAGCAAGGCCAGGAGCTGGTCCTGATTTCTCAAAACAATCTTAAGTCTGAGTTTTGACTTAATTTGAGAAAACGCAGGAAAATGCATTTCCCAGCATTAATTGAAATCGGTATAAAACTCAAACTTAGTAGACAATTTGAGTTTGGTGGATAGATTACTTAATTTGTTTAGGCTTTTATATTTTAAAAGTGCAGTTGAGTTAAAAATTCAGCTGTTTCAAATTGTTAAACTCAGTTTTAAATTTGAGTAAAAAGTTAAGATTGTTTCGAGAAATCTGGGCCAGGTGTGTGTTCATATCTCAGACACTTAACAATGATTTGATCCAGATCTGTCAGCACTTGTCCTTGTGGACAACAGTGGCAAATGTCTTTGTTTCTATGAGCGTTCTTCATAGACAGAAGTAAACTGACACTTTGTGACCAACCTGAAACAAGACGTCAGAACCAACTCACTGACCTGCACAACCTCTATCTGTCAGTTTGCTCAGTGGGCTGTGAACTGATTGTTTCAAATCAAGGCTAAATGTCCCCTCCATTGTTTTGTGGATAGAGTGTGTGACCAGGCAGGAGGGAATATTTTAAAAGGTGGTACTTTTTTTACTCAGCCTTTCTTTCAGTGTGAAGGGTTGGTGTGTGGTCTTGTGCATAGATCTTAGGTCACAAATCAGTTGAAGTTAAGCATCGTTTGGTACGGAGAGTCTTTGGGTGGGTGACTGTGTTTGGCAGCTTAACTCCTGAGAGTTTCTAAGACTTCAGTCTTGCCCCACGACGAAGCACACGTGATACATGTGGTCTCCCCTTAGGCCAGTGAGTTTGTCCAAAATTGCCTCTGTTCACCCATCAGAAAATGGGTACCTGGTGGGATATGTCATGTGAGTATTAACCTTCTAGTGCCTCACAGGCAACTTTGGTATCCGGGGTAACAATTATCGGATTGTCTGCACTGTGAGCAACCACCATAGATAGGAAATGGTGCCTAACAAATGCACATATTATTATTATAAAACAAGCACTTGTTGGCTCGGAGTCTGTATACAGTCTGAAACCTGTATCAGTCGTGTTTCTTGAGTTTGAATGAGACATGATGAATGTTCCACACAATGAAAGAAAAACCAAAAGAGTGTCCATGTTATGAACTATGTACAGTTTATTCCACAGTAAGCCACAGAGTGTCATTTGTAAAAATGTGTTCAATCATTAAGAAAATAGAAAATGCAGCTGATACAGGCATTGTCTCATCTTGACACTGTTAGGTACAAGCTTGTACCTCGTCACAGGGAGCCTCTGTGTATCAATCAGGGTGCCTCACTTAATGCATACAGTGGTTGCAGTTGTCTCAAGCATACACTATTGGTGGTTTTAAACATGAATCTGTACTGTCAGATACGTTTGTTAGGCGCATCTGTGACAATGAAATAATTTGTGAACTCATGAATGAAGACAGTGAAGAACATTAACTTTTCACCAGGTATGGCAATCAACAAAAGGCATCTACTAGTCTGAAAATAAGATGCAGCAATAACTCTCCAAATGTCTCAAATTGTACTTAGCCCCTATGATCCCTCTAACATGAATTTAATCTGGTTACCGTCACTGTGTCACATGACATTATAGTTGCCCCTGAGATATTAAGACATGTTGCACAATCAGAAATTGTCAGAGACATTTTATAAAATTTGATAAATATCACTTTTCTGGGAAATATTGTTGCAAAAAGAAAATGTTAAAGTCCAATGCTTCGACTTTGAACATTTGCTGTTAAGGAAAATCGGAAAGTGTCCACAAATCAAAAGAATTTGAATCCTCTGGCAAGGCAGAACTCATCTGTTATAGCCCACCTATGCCAGCTGAACACCCGAGTAGTCATGTTTCCAAGCACTGCTCCACTGACCCGAGGAAAGTGCATTGTCAGCAGTCAACACCAGTTGGAAATTGCTTCACTTAGAGACCGGAGGACTCGTCTCTGTGATGAGCCGTTCTGAAAACGATATCTCCGATGACAACACTAGCTCTTCCCTGTCCATGTGTCCGCTGGCCGCTGAATGTTTTCTTGATGGTGTTTCACCGCAGTCACTGCGACCAGAACTTACTTGTATTGGCGGTAAGGGAACCGGACTTATATGGGAAATAACCTCAGGGGAATCCATGTTTGTGTTGTAATCAGAGAAGAAATCTGCATTTGATTCATACTGATCCCGTGTGTAGTCCAGTTGGTTGTGATGTTGAGACTTACTTCCCTTGCCTTTTCGTCTGTGTCGAGAAGTCCCAATAGAGGGCAGAATGGAATATTTCTTTTCTTGAACCTGCTGTGGATGGATGTAGTCAAGAGGGTCAGATAGTTCCTTTGGTTTCATTGTGAAATTGTCTCTTGGAGTTGCACAGAATGACGGCCGAGTATGTTCTGGTGTCGTTGGGGTAGCTTGAACACCAGATCGCCAAGAATGTTCCACGAGTGTGTTTTCTCTGCTTTGTCCCAGATCTGGAGGAAGATTGAGTCTGGGCACCAAGCATCGTTGTTTCGGGATTTGTGGCATGGGAGAGTATGTTCTGTTCTCCACATCGTGACTTACCGATGGCCTTCTCCTCACTAATACATCGTGTTTCATCACCGACTCACCTCTACAATACATCAGCTGACCACTGTTTGACTGTGATGTTTGTAACGGCTGGGTGAAGGCAAATCGTTGTGGACCCTTGTCTCGAGGTGATGGAGCAAGGGTGTTCTCCCTCCTGCCTCTTTCACTATAGAAGGCAGCATTGTATTTAAGTCTTTGCTCATTATCTTTGGAGCTTTTCAATCTTCTACTTTGATTTCTTGCACTTGGAAGTTGGGTTAACGTTTCAGAAAGACCCTCGTGACCAGAGTCAGCTGGTATCGTGTCCTGTGGTATGAACATAGTATGGTCGGGGAATGGAGAAATGTTTTCACAAACAAGTTCTGGACTTTCGTGATTGTCTCTGACATGGAGAGGATTGTTCTGTCTGCCTCTATGTGGTTTCTGTTGAACCCATGCAGTCTGTGACCGCTCCACTCGGGGAAGGGTATTGTCCGAGTAACCAAAGCTTTGGTTGTCATCAAAACTATGACTCATCTTGACAGTAGACTGAACCGGAAGACAACTTGTACTGAAATAAAGAAATGAATTCATCATGTTCAAAGCATGAACTAGTTAAAGAATTGTGCTGCATTTACTCCACCAGATATCATGTTGACTGAAAACACGATCTTTATGATCACCGTGATAATTTTTATATGGTCGTCATATGCTGCAACTTTCAGTTTGTTTTTAGCAGTAACATAAAACCCAATTCCCTTATCTTTATCTTTAATTTACAATGAGAAAGTCATGAATAATTAGTATATTAGTTCAATATTGACATGACTGAAGGTTCGTGTTTCTCGTATCTATAGAGGTCTGTGTATTCTGGATCAAGATGTTGTAGCTATGTGTAATGACACCCTTTCATCAGTACATGTGAACTGATCTCATTTCCTGATCATTTTCTACAGGATAATTGACTGGATTATATGAAGGTTGCATAATTCACAACTAGAAACTATTCACCATACAACTCATTACAGTGTTGAATATGGCAGTGTTGAAAGGTTTTCTACATTTGTCGCTAGTTTAATGCGCCTGCAGCCATGTTCAGGCAAGATGAGAGTAGCCAGTACATAATCCCGCCTGGACTATATGGTCTGGTGAAACAGTCATTTAACAGGGCACAGTATTTTTCATCAGTTCATTTCTGAGCATAGTTGACAAAAATATTAACAGAAGAAATAGTATTTTCATCATAATTTTGAAAATGATTGACTAAAAACAGGGAGTGACAGGGAATTTATTCCAAAAGTTTACCAGTAATTTTTTCTTTTAGCAGAGTATAAATCACCACTGAGAAACACGTGGTACTCGTCTTCAATAACATTCATACCTTTGCTTTTACAATAAAACATGAAATCTAAGGTTGTGTTCAGTGTTGGTATACCTGCCAGTTTCGAAAGCAGTTTAAAGCTAGAATATCTAAACTTAGAGAAAACTGTCCTAAAATGGATTGGAGGATTATAACATAGATAGCATATATACTGACATTACTTTACATGCTAAGGATTAATGCATCTATACATGATTCTGAAAGATCTGTTTAGGTTAAAGAGGAAAAAGTGGTAATAAATGGACAAACCTGGTATTGTTGGAGACACTAGTTATTCCGGTTGAGGTTGCCCGACGAGGTTTGCCACATGCTGTATACAGGGGTGTATACTCAGTATATCCACTATAGAGGTGTGTGCTGTACACAGGGGTGTATACTCAGTATATCCACTATAGAGGTGTGTGCTGTATACAGGGGTGTATACTCAGTATATCCAGGTGTGTGCTGTAGACAGGGGTGGGTGCTGTCTATAGAGGTGGGTGTATACTCAGTATATCCACTATAGAGGTGTGTGCTGTATACAGGGGTGTATACTCAGTATATCCACTATAGAGGTGTGTGCTGTATACAGGGGTGTATACTCAGTATATCCAGTATATCCACTATAGAGGTGTGTGCTGTATACAGGGGTGTATACTCAGTATATCCACTATAGAGGTGTGTGCTGTATACAGGGGTGTATACTCAGTATATCCACTATAGAGGTGTGTGCTGTATACAGGGGTGTATACTCAGTATATCCACTATAGAGGTGTGTGCTGTATACAGGGGTGTATACACTATAGAGGGTGTATACTCAGTATATCCACTATAGAGTATACTCAGTATGTGTAAAAGCTGTACTGTATACTCAGTATATCCACTATAGAGGTGGGTGCTGTATACAGGGGTGTATACTCAGTATATCCACTATAGAGGTGGGTGCTGTTATTTCATGTCTGTCACTTCACACACAAGCTGTCTTTAGTACACATGTTTAACACAATGGCAGTGTTTTTACTTGACTGATGAATATCAAATTCTTCATCACTTGTTGAGTCTTCTCTCAAACCAGAAGGATTGGGTGGAAAAAATACTCACTACCAGAAGGATCGGGTGGAAAAAATACTCACTACCAGAAGGATTGGGTGGAAAAAATACTCACTACCAGAAGGATTGGGTGGAAAAAACACTCACTACCAGAAGGATTGGGTGGAAGCATTGACTGTGTCAGCAGATCATTTAGCCTTATCCAAGATTCTGTTGTATTTCATTCTTCAGAAGTGTGTGTTTGCGAAGGTTCTTCAGAGCTGGGTGAATATGCTCCTACTCGTGAGTGCTGCACTTGAAGTGTACACAGTAACCTGGCTGCTTGATAGGATCTTGTCAGGACATTATTGCCTGAGTTTGTGAAATCTGGTAGCGTTTCTTCCCTGGCTTCTCGTGGTAGGGTGATACCTCGTCACATCCAACATTACACAGACGTCAGGCGTTTATGTTGACCTGTTGATAAAGGTCTGCTGTGAATGTGAACATATTCCCAAATTGGAATTACACTTGTATAATGAATTCCTATTTACCACCAGTGGTAACCAGTATTATTGTTTTGTACCAGTCACTTATGTTTCACTGGTAACAGGACCAGTAAGGAGGCTTAGTGTTTAGTTTTAAAGTGTTCGTTGAATCCAATATTAGAATATGTCCTAACTTTGCGGAATACAAACTTTAACAAAAATCCCAACCTTGAACTTGTAGATGAATACCTAGGTGTGGTTGATGTCTTCGGGGGGTTGTTGTGTACAGTGTTGTCAACTGTGCAGTGTATGACGACAACATCTACTGTCCTACAGCTGTCAGTACGTCTCTATGATGAAGCCATCACTTACACATTAGCTTCCACACAACTGTCATTGTTACACTTGAACCAAGCTGATAATCCACTCTCAGGCTACAGTTGAAATCCACCCCCACTTGTCCTGAGCTGTGTGGAGTACTGCTTACCTGCAAACTAACATTGTAACAATGTAGAGGTTATCACTACCTGAACTACTGTCAGGCTGCAGGTACATTTGATGGTCGTTAGGCATTCAGGACGACAAGGAAGCAGTTATAGTTACATCTGTTATACAAGATGTCGGGATTTGTTTACTACATAAGTATATTTGTTGGTCCACAGGAATACTTTAGGATGTTTATTAGTATATAGCCATATGTCTCTAATAATGACTTGATCAATGATTGCTTGTTACATATTTAAATAACTTGTTCCTATTTCTATGGTGAGATACGCCCAATATCTATTTCAAGCAGCAGAGACGCTGTTGTTGTGATGACACTCAAAAGTAACACAAAAGAAAACTTTTAGGCATCCCAAAAGCTTAATTTATTTACTCCTCACGCTGTGGTTCATAGTTCCTTGTTTTAGAGACCCAGTAGCATGCAAAATTGGTAATGGAATGACGCAAAGAGATCTACCATACCGGGTATAATAAAAAAATTTACTGAAGTGATCTGTGCAAACGTGTAAAACTGTAAAAATGTAATGTACCATTATAGATAAACCTGGATATTCAGAAACTGTATAGCATATTTAGCTCTAACCAATTGAAGGAGGAAAACTTTCAGTGATGCACACTTACTGTCTATGTTACTATGAAAGGACTTATACACAGTTCATGGTGGATCAAATAATTCTTCTTTCAAGCCCGCTGTAAGGCACAGTACATTATATGTGTGTGTTAAACAGACATCTGTACAGTGCTTACCTTGCTAGGATCCCACAGTGTGACCATGCAGCCTGTCAGTGGTGGACCCACACACTGTAACATTGTCGGACCAGCCAGGTAATGCATTGATCCAATCACACACCTCACTAACAGTCACATGTCAAGCAGTGGCGTACACGGTTATCATCAGGTAAATCACATGACCTTGTAATCAGTGAAACCTGCTTCAAATACCTGTACTGGGAATACAGGTGTCCATTACAACTCCTGCAGGAATAAGATGAGATATTCAGCTGGATGTATTATTGATAGTTGTCGGTGTTCAGTGGTAATAACACCCAGATCAGTTCATGGTCCAGTTAGTTGGAGAGGCCAGGAAAAACACCATCTTGTCAAGTTAATATGTTTAATTCAAATGTTGGTGATCACAGATTTAACAATAGAGCACCCACATATCTCCAGTCTGTGACGTTAACCACATGTCCAACTCCAGAGGCAAGTCAAGATTTTCATTAAAGTTGGCAGATCAGCTAATAAAAAACCATAGGAAAACACTGTTCAAGAGTCAGTGTCAAGAGCTAAGTTTGGACTAGTAGGGGCAAACAGTTTTGGCTGTGTCTTTAAACATGGAAATGAAAGACTAATATAATTTATGGTTCAATATGACAAATTGACTTATGTAACAAAGCTTGTTTCAACTGATCCTGGTTACGTGTTGTGTACATTGATCAATATGTGTATAGCATATTTAAATTAGTGGTCTTTGTTCCTTAATGCTACAGTTTACTGGATATGATTCAAATAAAATTTGAAAAAGACTTCAGGAAATAATGTCTCTGGAAAAAGGCTGAAAAACATTGTACTGTTTTATATTGAGAGATAAAGGCTACGAATAGATGTTTTTGACTTTGTGTTTGAAGAGTACTAATATTGTACGTCATGAATTATTAACAACACAAGCCCGTGAAGATCTGCATCCTAGTGACGAGCTGTGTCAGTTTCTCAAGTAGGGGTATTTTTGATGGCATCTGTAAGTCACGATGTGTGCTAGGTACATTACACAGGATCGTCTGATGAGCTTAGCTATGTAGGAAGACACGTGATGGTAGATAGCATACTGCTCATTAGAAGTTAAATACAGCTGTTTTCATATTTCTATAGTAGATCTGTCATGAAAGATTATCTATGATATGAAATAATCGGTTGTCATTTACCTTCTATTAAATCAATGGCAATCAGGGTCATGACTGACGCCCACAAATATGTTTGTGCCCACTGATCACGATCTACTCAAGCCTACCAGCGAAGATAATTGCTCCGAGGCTATTTACAACGCAGAGCGTCGCTGTATTATTAGTCCAGCGACATTTCATAGATCTTCACAGAAATCAACTATTCGGATATGATTCAAATAAAATTTGAAAAGACTCTGCCCACTGATCACTTTTGTGATCCGTACACGTTCCTGTTTGTTCACCTCCGATACAATGTAGTTTTGATGACGTAATTATCTTATAAAACAAGGGATGAATGAATCAGCATGGAGGATTATATAGTTTCCTTTATCGTGTGAAAAAGAGAATAGAGTGTTGAACTTTAAAAAAGTGTAAATATACACACCTTTATGTTAGATTTTCAATAACATAGCTTTCATTATATATAGCATGTATACTGAAATTAACAAAGTGTAAATTAGAGTTACCTTGCCTTGGTGAATACTTGAAACATCAATAAATGACTTAAGTTTTGCTTTACACAGAACCGACCACAGGTACTCGAGTACTTGTCGGTGTCCTGTTCCTGTAAAACAGTCATCCACATTTCTTTAAAAAGGTGTGATATATCTTGGCAACACACATACTTCTCTTCACTTCTGCAAACACCTTTGGCAAGGCACCTTGTGTCAGTTCATCAATGTTGCAGACAGGACACTTTGTGTCAGTTCACCATTGCAGACAAGACACCTTTGTGTCAGTTCACCATTGCAGATACACCTTCATGTTCAGTTAACCATCGCAGACAAGGCACCTTGTGTCAGTTCATCAATGTTGCAGACAGGACACTTTGTGTCAGTTCACTATTGCAGACAAGACACCTTTGTGTCAGTTCACCATTGCAGATACACCTTCATGTTCAGTTAACCATCGCAGACAAGACACCTTGTGTCAGTTCACCATTGCAGACAAGACACCTTTGTGTCAGTTCACCATTGCAGATACACCTTCATGTTCAGTTAACCATCGCAGACAAGACACCTTGTGTCAGTTCACCATTGCAGACAGGACACCTTGTGTCAGTTCACCATTGCAGATACACCTTCATGTTCAGTTAACCATCGCAGACAAGACACCTTGTGTCAGTTCACCATTGCAGACAAGACACCTTGTGTCAGTTCACCATTGCAGACAGGACACCTTGTGTCAGTTCACCATTGCAGATACACCTTCATGTTCAGTTAACCATCGCAGACAAGACACCTTGTGTCAGTTCACCATTGCAGACAAGACACCTTTGTGTCAGTTCACCATTGCAGACAACACACCTTTGTGTCAGTTCACCACTGCAGTTAAATTTTGAATTCCTTTGTGTATTAGTGTTTCAATCATCTCTTGACTAGCTGGAATAACTGGAATGTAATACCTAATGTCCCTTCCAAACTAAAACTTTTATAGTATGTGTTCCTGACAAATGTACTCATTTTTGGTGAATTGAAATGCTCAACTGGAAATGAATATTTCCATAAAAAAAGATATTATCTTCAAATCAGATTTAGCAGTGGAAGCAATAAGGTAAAATGAAGCATAATGATCTTCTCGTCAGTGAAATCCTCAGTCATCTTGGCTGATCATAACGTTACGAGTGGATATAAATGAATTGGGAAGGTTTGGGGTCCTTTGCTGCAGACTGAATGTTTGACTCCTCTCTGGGCTACATAAATCCCCACAGTACGCAGGTATGGGAGGGAGTGTACAGACCTTTCTACTACATGAGTCGTAAACACTCATAATCATGGTCAGCTAAGTATGTTACCTGGAGCAGCTTACTGTTGTGTCAGCGTGCTCTCCTGTGACATAACTGGTTTAGGGTTAATCTCTGTTCACTGGGCACCATGGGTGTTTTCTGGGGGCATTGTCGGACACATGTAGCATTTACTGGTGTTCAGTGTGTAAACTGATGTCATGATTTGTGTACAGTCCACCTGTGTAGTGCATTATGTCTGAGGTCATGTAGCCTGGCTGATACAGTCTTGTCAACTCAAGATCTGGGTATGATCTGTGGGTTCTGAGTGTCCCAGGTGTGGAGCTGTCAGTCAACTGTCACATCCTTGTTCACTTCACCGAAAGCCAAGGTGGTAACAGATTATACTTGATTACTGGCTCTTGGGGATAATATAGATCTGGCTGGCTTGTAGTGTACAGTATCCATGCCAAACTGCGTCATGGGATCTCAGTGGGCTGACCCATTGGTCCGGATTAGTCTGGCTAGCTATTCTCAAAACGTTCATAGCGCTACGAACTTCTTAAGCCCATTCTTAACACATCAGCTACGATCAAAGTTAAGAATTCTTAGGGCTACAAATGTTTCGAGAATAAGGGCCCTGGACTAGTACATCAGCGGACTAGCACATGGCATTATATAACTACAATAACCTTACAGTTCACAGAGAACACTATTTACTTGACTTAATTTCAGTTGATTGTCTGGCACAGACTCAACATTTACAGGGCCACACCATGGCATTATAGAAGTACAATAACCTTACAAGTCTTTGAATGGCATTTAGAAGTTATACACATAAGAAGAGAGTTTTATGGATGGCAGCTTCTTTATTATGAGGAACACAATGTTTCAGAGTACGTGTATATCCTTACTCCTTCATCAAGTGAATAAGGAATAAGGATAAACATTATGTTCCTCATAATAAAGAAGTTGATATCTACAAAAACTCGCTTCCTTTGTAACATAACAGTTGACAGAAAACCCTGTTTCACTTGACTTGACTTAACGTCAGTTGATTGTCTGGCACAGACTCAGTATTTACAGGTGACTGTCATTAAGTGATCCATGTAACTGCGTGTGGAGTTTGAACCGAGCATATCCATCTTCGAGTAGTTTGTCTTATGAAGGATATCAGTTGTGCTGGAGGTTTTCTGGGCTTCACTTAAACATGTATGAATGAAATGGATTTCCCTCTGTCTGCTTGTGAGTCTTGGGGAATCTCAGTAATGATTTGAGGGGCCTAAGGTGACTACGTGGCTAACAATGAAACATACATTATTGATAAGTACAGGCATGAGTATTCTTGTTTGAAATGGGTTGTTTTGGGTTACTGTTTAACACCACATTTAGCAATATTCCAGCTATATGGCGGCGGTCTGGCAATAATCGAGTCTGGACCAGATAGTCCAGTGATCAACAGCACGAGCATCGATCTACGCAATTGGGATATCATGACATGTGTCAACCAATGCAGTGTGCCTGACCACCCGATGACGTTAGTCACCTCTTACAACAAACATGGATTACTGAACACTAATTCTAACCCTGATTGGTTGGCACATGTCATCGTATTCCAGTTGTGTAAATCGATGCTCTTGTTGTTGATCACTGGATTGTCTTTTCCAGACTCTATTATTTACAGACCTCGGCCATGTGGCTGGAATACAGCTGAGTGGGGTGTTAAACAACCAACCAACAAACCAACCAAATGATACAGAAGTAGCTTCTTCTGAGGAAGGCTGATGGAGCTCCAGTACTCCCTATTGTCCTAGATATCTACCTTTTTTCCTTTAAACTAATATAGCATGTATAACTGGAATCTGGTTAAAAGAACGAAACAATTGCATTCAACATGCTTCATTCGTTCACTATGTTCAATGTGATGAGTGGACGCTTTAACCACTAGGCTGCTCCACTGCCCCTACAACAGCTGATACACTGGCCAGGCTTCTGAAATAGGCCAAGCCTGGAGATCCATATACGAAAACATGAGCTTCACACTAAGGCAGCATTATGGGCTGAGTGGAGTTGTCTCCCTTGGGCGTGATTGCAATATGGGCTGAGTGGAGTTGTCTCCCTTGGGCATGATTGCAATATGGGCTGAGTGGAGTTGTCTCCCTTGGGCATGATTGCAATATGGGCTGAGTGGAGTTGGTTTTGTCAGAACCATACCCTCACACCAAAGACCTGAGTCACTTTGAGCTTTCCGCCATGAGTAAGTCGACATGCCATGATGTAACTGGAATATTGTTAAGACTGATGTAAACCAAACTCACTCACTTACTCCAGCCGCAGACAATAAGCTCAGTTTTGATTTTTTTCAGGATATCTGACCGTGGTGGCGGTATTCCCCCAAAGGTCCTTGCCAAGGTCTGGGACTACAACTTCACCACCTCTGGGGCTGTGACTGATGACCGTGTGGATGGGGGTCTCTTTGGCCAGATCATGGACACGGACAACTCAGGACCTGCTCCTGGAAAAATGCATGGGTAGGTACACATGGTTACAGACTTCCACTGGGGAAGATGGGTAGGTACACATGGTTACAGACCTCCACTGGGGAAGATGGGTAGGTACACGTGGTTACAGACCTCCACTGGGGAAGATGGGTAGGTACACGTGGTTGCAGACCTCCACTGGGGAAGATGGGTAGGTACACGTGGTTGCAGACCTCCACTGGGGAAGATGGGTAGGTACACGTGGTTACAGACCTCCACTGGGGAAGATGGGTAGGTACACCTGGTTGCAGACCTCCACTGGAGAAGATGGGTAGGTACACATGATTACAGACCTCCACTGGGGAAGATGGGTAGGTACACGTGGTTACAGACCTCCACTGGGGAAGATGGGTAGGTACACGTGGTTGCAGACCTCCACTGGGGAAGATGGGTAGGTACACGTGGTTACAGACCTCCACTGGGTAAGATGGGTAGGTACACGTGGTTGCAGACCTCCACTGGAGAAGATGGGTAGGTACACATGGTTACAGACCTCCACTGGGGAAGATGGGTAGGTACACATGGTTACAGACCTCCACTGGGGAAGATTGGTGGGTAGACACATGGACCTTCTCTCTTGGGAAGATGCTTCAGAATATATTTTGTAGTGTCAAATAATATTTTTCACAAAGAAGTAACCTACCCACTGAAAGTTTCAAAAAAGAAAAAGAGCATAACCAATAAAAGGTTCATGGAAACATGAATATGAGTGCCATGGAATGTCTTGAAATTCATTCCAATATAAAGTTGATTTTGTTGTTTCATTTATATCTAGTTGGAAACCTAATTTGGAGATATTAGCAGATCACACACCTGTAATTAGGTGAGAGCTTAATGCAATTTGTTAATCATGCTGTGTATCTGGGTTCAAATTCTCATGGTGTCCCCTTTCTCACGGTGTCCCCTGCTGTGATATTGCTGGGCAAAAAAACAAACTAGATCTCTCATGCCAGTCACTGTTGGACTAGTATAAAAAAGACGTTGCAATTGATTGTCGTGAGAAAGCACCTAACGAGTTGATGACATTTCAGGTACGGCTTCGGTCTACCCACAGCCCGAGCCTATGCTGAGTATCTAGGTGGACGCCTTACCCTGGAAACCATGGAGGGCATCGGCACGGACGTTTACCTGCGCCTAGCACACATGGACAGCAAGTCTGAGAAGTTCCGTATCTAAACCTCCAGCTTGGATGCCAACTTGACAGTCGTGTGGATTGTTTTTTGAAGCGTGGATAAAACTGTTGGCCAGTGTCCACTGATGACAGGAACCAGATCCTGAAAATTCACCAGAACTTCTGGACTTACAGCATTGTTACTTCATTCATAAATGATATTCTTGTTTCAAATTGGACAATTTTGTGCCCTGAAGAAGGATTTCGGCTGTTTTTGTCAGCTTAATTGTTTCTTTTTGCAGTGATGGGAGAAAAGTGATATGTCTTATGCAAACATCCGGCTGTAAACATTGTTTGGGTGGTGGGGTAGCCTAGTGATTATAGCATGTGCTTGTCTTGCTTAAAGCCCGGGTTCGATTCTCACATAGCTACAGTGTGTGAAGCCCATTTCTGGAGTCCATTTCCGTGATGGAATATTGCAGACCATACTCACTCACTCACCCACTGTTCAGAGGGACAGGGCATAGATACCACTGCAGTTTACAAAGTAATAATTCATACATGAATCTCATGTTTAGTTTGAATCAGAGTCCACAGTGTTGTTGAAATGTTTGTACTAAATCCATATATTTGTGTTCCTGTCTCGTTGTATCACAAATATTTGGGGAGGATAGTCTGCCATACCTAGTTACCTCCCTTTGATGTTTGGGATGCAATGCTATGATGACTTGTAGAGTATTAGATGTGTATGATGTCATAGTTTCTGCCAGTATAGGAGAGAGAGGCAGGGGAATCGACATGGATGTTGTTGTTGTTGTTGTTTTGACTCGTTACCATGGTTGCACATATGACTATGGTAACAACTATTGTTGTATAATGTAAGACTACCGTCTCATCGCCCAGAAATTCATAGGAAACACAGTTGGGGGTAAAACGCAAACTACCTTGAATGGACATACTCGTAGAGTCAGTGGGAATCTCATGACGTTTTTGTCAGCATGTTGGTTACTTTGTTCTGCCGGTTTGAGGAATGTACTCAGTTGTGTGAGGTTCTCACACACAGGTCTCTCACATCAATATAGTGTGAGGATGCACTCGTTTTGTCATATCTTGAATTACACTTATCTGATTGTTATTATGTGTATTTTATTCAAAGACATTATTCTCCCCATGTACAGTGTCCTACCTGGTGTGTCTGTATGGTATTTCCCGGTCCGGTACAGGAATCAACAGCATGGCCTCCAGCATGTGTGGGCAAGCAGGACTGAACATCATATCAAGTTTATCTTTGACTGAGCAGTCACATTAATGATATCTTTGTTTTCATATCACTTGATAAAAATTGAAGATGTCTGTTATTTGTCTCAAACAGTCCACTGTAAACCATGGTGGTATATCTTCAATCTATTGTGATAAATGCTTTGTAGCTGATTAGTTTTGTTTAAACATATTTTATTTACAAAGTGAAAAGGATCAGGGACAAGTTCTTACAATTTATAAAACCCCTTTCCAAGAATATTTACAAACACATTTCAGCGCAAGCAATAATTAGAAACAGACGAAGAGGAAGATAGACACTTAAGGGGAAATATAATACAATAGGTACACAAGGAGGAAAAATACTGGAATCTTTCTGATTTGCTTATATACAGAAGTACATTTTTTAACATAATTTCATTTTTATGATTTGTCTGATGTGCAATGCTGTTAAAAAGAACAGAGATTGTAATCACAAAGTTACAGTTGTACTTGATTACCACCAGGCGTCTGGAAGGGATGTGCCTGTGTTAAACCTAGAAACTAAGGATGGACGTTTTCTCACTCACGAACACACATGATGAACTATGTCAAGAAATAGTGGTATTAAAGTTGAATTTTCCCGAGTTAATCTTACAGTATAGTTGTTTTGGTCTGTTTGACTTCAACTGATGTTGTTTAAGCTTCCTTACACTAATTTGTTTTTGTTTAATCCTGATACTTCTATTGGATTATTCCCAAACATCAGTAACACTTCGTGCACACACACGCACGCACACACACACACACACAAAAAACACCTTGCTGTTAGTCATTTTATTCCTGCTAATATTCTGTCTCATCACCTCACTATGTCACAAATTTTTGCCTCAGTTTTCATTCAGAATGTATTCTCAACATGTTTCAAAATAGAAAACTATTTTTGTTGTATCATGTTGTATCAATTCATGGTACAGTATAAACATGGGTTTTATCATGGGGACTATTTCATGAATGTACACATGTCATGGAACTATTATCAGTGGGATATGTCACAATGGTCGAATTGAGTGGGTTTTTTCCCAAAGGATCTTATGATCACTAAGTAATAAATAATTCTGTGAACACATGAATGTGTTGGCATGGTAACGATGGCAAGCAGATTCCATCATTCCTACACCTGGACAAGTCACATGGTTGCAAGAAGCTCAGGACTCGCTGGTCAAGCCATACCGAGGCAAGAATCTCAGGACTTTCTCATTGGACTGACCATACAAAGGCCGGACAAAGGACATTTGACTGGTCGTGGAGATTCATCTACTATACTATAATTTAAATTTTCTACATTATGAAAGTGCATATGTGTCTAAGATAAAATAATCCAGATGTTTTTATCTACCTGTAACCGTTATTATTTTAATACTGTATTGAACGTACTTGGAGTGTCAGTAGTTGTAGGTCTGTAATATAAGTCGTGAATGTAGAAACTCTGGGCCAGTTGTCGGAGGCACCATGATTCACAGTACAGTGTGATTTCCAGTTTTCATGGATTGTGTTCTAGTTTTGTCAACACCACACCTGTGCTGGTGGGTCTCACCAGATTTTACATGTCAAACACTATTCCTCCGGCAGCAAGCCGACTTGCCGTTATATAACATGAATACTGTTCCAAGTGGCGGCAAACCCCAACATTCAGGAAGCACTGTTGGATGGCTCCATGACTGATGGTTGTCTCGACACTGTGACAAATGCAAACACAGTTTTCTTGGTGTCTAGGAATTCAATGCTTTAGTTTAGGGCACAATTCGTTATTTTGGCATTTGCCTAGAAAAGGAGCCTGTAGGGTGATGGCTTCATGTAAAGTGTTTAGCTAAATACAACTTCATGGGGTCATTACCTGGAGAAGTTGAGAAATATCAAGAAAGAAGGGAAAATGTATTCCACCAAGTATCGACCCCAAAGAACTATCTGGATTGTATGGGCATTCAGAGGGGTATTGGTAGTGTGCAGAGAATTGCTACCTCAGTTTCTTATCCAAATTGTCAGGATTTAGAATCAAGAAAACCTCAATTTTAACAAGTTATCAATATCATGTAATCTTGACTTCTAGTCATAATAAAGTGCTGCCACCATGCTGATGGTGTTCTGTCTCCAGGTCTGAAACCTACTGGACAGAGCAGGAACATATAACCAGTCAGCTGAAGTGATTTTCCCAGTTGTGGAGGTATAAATGCTTAACATGAGAGCCTGTAGATTTCCCAGGCGAGGGGTGGTCGATGTCAACTACTAACCAGGGTGTCAAGTACGCTGCTGTTTCTCTGTTCAGGGGAGATAACTCTGTAGTATCACTGGGCAGGGGAGGTAACTCCAGGTAAATCACCACATTATGTATGTTAATTAATTGAGATGATTCAGTTCGTTCCTGTGTATACATATTTGTGGCAATACAGGTTGGTCTTTTAGATCACAAGTGTTTTTGAGAATTGTATATACACAGCAATTGCCGTGACAAACTGAGTCCTTGAGGTGTATATAAACATGACACTTTCCATGATATTTTAAAGGTGTGGTTTGATATATAGATTTATATTTACAAAGGTGTGGATGTGAATTAATGATTCACTACATTATGAATCTCAAAATTGTCCGTGTTCTTGTAGAGAGCAAGATAGGATGCTTTGTAAAAAGCATCAAATGACCTTTTATTTTCATTATTGCTTGGATTTGCAGTTGCTTTTAATATTTTTGTTGCTTATTCCATGTATTAGTAGTAAAAATGATGGAAAGTCATTGACCTTGTGTTTGTTATTTGTGAATGATATGAGTTCCTGGCACTTTAATGGGAGGCAACTCTGAAGGTGGGATGAATTCTGGCAGCAGTTGAGACCCAGATGGGATTCCCTACTCATCATAGCTGATTACTGTTCCTTGAGAAATTTGACCAATAAACTGTGGTTCCTTGCAATGCAAAGGGAGGCAACAAAGCAGTTGCTGAAGGAATACATAGGGATGACTTCTGGTGCCAGTGGTGTATGAGAGATGATCCTCCTCAGAGTCCTGCCCCTTGTAAATAGGAAGAAGAGCCATTCAAAACTGTAGACGTCCATGCCGAGTCAAAAGGACCACAATGTCAGAGTATGGATGCAACTTTAATGATTGACGATGTACATGAATATAAAGATGCATTGGTTTCACTAATGATTCTGGACATACCACTATGATGAAAAACATAACCCGTGAACACACCATTGAAATTCAGAACGGGTCAGTGTATTTTTTTGGTAATATTCTGAATGATATCCATAAAACAATATACTAACATATCACCAACACTTCCAGTTAGTTCATGTCTCAACATTCTAAATTCATGAACATATGCAAAACAAAATTTGCTGCTAGCCATAAAATCTGAATACTTGTGAAGATGTATATTTACTATGAAGAAAAAGTCTAGGAATGAAGTAGGTATTGTCTGGTTGTACAGTAGATTCATATAATAAAATGATTTATTTTCCAATGCCATTAATGAATGTTGCAAGCAGAAAGTCAGAATATGTCTGAAAGTGTCAACACGACTACCTCCCTGTTCTGTGACTGTCACATGCTGCAGCTACATCTTACTTCCATTCAGAAAACATCACTTGCTGAAGTAGTATCATAAATATTTGGTGAGATGTTTCATAAAGAAAATGAAGTCCACAAAATACTAATGATCCTTTGTTCAGCTTATTTGATATTTTCTTCTATTATTGATGACAATCCTGGCCGGAGAATTCCAGTTTCGGCTGTGTACAAAACAAACATCCTCCGAGCTCAAAGGTGCATGATCAGATTGGCTAGGCACTATACCCTAGGCTAGGCTATAAATGAAATATATCACCTGGGCCACCTAATGGCTGTGAGGATGTTTAATGAGTGAGTGAGATTAGTTTTACGCCACACTCCGCAATATTCCAGCTATATGGCGGCGGTCTGTAAATAATCGAGTCTGGACCAGACAATCCAGTGATCAACAGCATGAGCATTGATCTACGCAATTGGGATATGGTGATATGAGTCTACCAAGTCAGCGAGCCTGACCATCCGATCCCGTTAGTCGCCTCTTACGACAAGCATGGGTTACTGAAGATCAATATTCTAACCCGGACCTTCACGGGAGAGGATTTTTAATGGGATGAGATATTAAACTGAATGTTTTCCAATGAATCGATTATCAAATGACCCATCTGGCTTTACCCTTTTGTTTGAAGCCCACAATTAAAGCAAAATTTGGAACAAAAAGAAATGAGCATCTAAAGTGCCCTCCACTGAATCAGGATGCTGACCCATTCTTCAATAATGAATATGGCATGGGAGTGTAGGGATTAAAAAGGTCCCAGATTGATACTTGTCCGACTTTACCCCAGATGTCAGCATACTGGTCCTCTGAGTTCTGGTTCCCTTAGTGTTGCTGGTGGTGGACACACAGTACTCAACTTACAGCATTAGCTTGTCACGTCAAAGACCTCGCAACATGGGTACAAGGTGTGAAGCCCATTTCTGTTGTCCTTTGTCCTATTGCAAGATTAAGCAAAACCATACCATTCAACACTGACTGACTGAGTTTGGTTTTACGCCGCTTTTAGCAATATTCCAGCAACATCACGGTGGGGGACACCAGAAATGGGCTTCACACTTTGTGCCAGTGTGGGGATTCATACCCGGGTCTTCGGCGTGACGAGCCAACGCTGTAACCATGAGGCTACCCCACCGCCCCAATCAACACTGAACAAGGGGACAGAGACGTGAGGAATTGAGCTGGTATAGTGTGGTAATGTACAGAAATGAACTACACTGGTAATATACAGTCCACCCACACAACAGGAGACGCCTACAATGGGCCTCATGTTGTACCTATATGAAGAATTAAACCTCGTCTTCAATGAATACCTTACCTGTCAGACTATCCGGTAGTCTCCCTGTTACTCCTCCACAACACATCACCGGCAATATTTTCACCCAACTAAAACACACCACCATCACACCTCACCATTCATTTCTTCTGACTCATGAAATGTGTCTACAGAGTCCACCAGTCTGTATGATTAGTTCACATCTCAGGACACAATCATCCTTGGACCTCGATTATCCAGTGTTCATATCCTCACCATATTCCTTCACCATCACTGAAGATCAAATGTCCAAGCTGGGAGCATCACACACCCCTACCTCATGCACGCCTCTTTACCCGGTATGACCACACCTCAAAGGAATAATCTACATCCAAATGTGTCCACCCCCCCCAACTGCTAGGACGAGGACCATTGTTTGCACTACCATGATTACTACCCATAAAGACAACTGAAGGAACCCACATCAGACTTAGATACAAACATTATTATATGACCTTGACCCAAGGGTCTAAACTTCACTTCCATCAAGCCAATGTTTTACATATTCTGCAAGCACAGTTTGTACCATGATTAGGACAACAGACTATATTTGGCATTGGAGACATATAATCATTGAAATGGTCAGTACCATCGATATGCACAATGTAATATCTGTGACATAATCATAACCCCATTATGACAAATACTATGAAGAGTTAAATCTTGGTTTCCAACCCTCTTCCCTGACCATTGGTTTAAACAATTTACTATTCTCCTCCTTCAAACCATCCCTGGTTTCAGTGTGTACAGAGTCTACCCATCACTTGTGTCTGGCGTGGTGATGATCATCTTGTCCACCTGCACGGAGAGCTGATGGCAGATGTAGGAATCCACAAACTTCTGACAAGCATGTCGTGTGACTTTTGGACAGCCATGGAATTTGACTGTCTCCAGCTGGGAGCAAGCTTTCAGGAAGTGAAAGACGTGATCGGTGATCTGTAAACAACCTGAAAGATCTATCTGCTTCAGCTTCTTCATCAAAGGGCTGTCTCTCTTGGTCAGTGCCACCACAGTCGCATTAGTCAGCTGGACGCAGTAGCTCAAGTTCAGCCTCTCCACATTGGGCATGTGCTGCAACAGAATCTCTATGGATTGGTCGGTAACCTCGGTTCCAGCCAATGACAGCGTATGAACCTTGTGCAGGCGACTGATGACCTTGAGAGCTGGCTTCCTGTCTGCTGGAGGAAGGACAAGGTCGCGGAAGGAGTCCTCACTGAGTCCGACAGCCCAGTTGAGGGAGAGGGAACGCAGGAGGGGGCACGAAGAGGAGCAGAGACCGCCAATAGTTCCCCACGACAAATATGACAAGTCAAGATGGTGGAGCTGAGGCAGACGAACCACGAGCCAAGAAAGCTGTTTTGGGGTCATGACACACTGCGCCAGGGTCAGAGATTCTGGTTGTCGTCGAACAATCCCCACCAGGTGGCACTGTCGGATTCTGGTCTGTCGCAGATTGATCTCCTTCCAAAGACAACGGTTGATGCACCACCTATTCCAAGTCTTACACACACACAAACACCGAGCCAAGTCACCCAAGTCCAGTTTTTTAAACACAGTCATCCACATCTGACGCTTGAGGACATGGACGTCCCCCGTTTCCAGTTCCACTGTATCGGCTGGAGGTGGGATTGGTGCCGGACGAACAACATATCTGTTAATCACAACCCGTAATTCTTTATCACACACCGGACCTGCTCCATCACCACGCCTTGGCCTTGACCCGGAAAACCCAGCTGGTTGATCAGGATTCTGACCTTCACCTCTGTCGGATGGGGGATTTGACCTTTCATTAGATCGATCCCTGTTTGAACCCTTTCCCTTTGGTGATTTGTTCTGATGACCACTTGACCCTTGACCTCCACCATGACAGCCTCGCTTGGCTGGTGATGTTCGGAGTTGAGCCACAACTCTGTCCTGTCCTTGACCAGCCGTCTTGAAGAAGCGAGGCCGTAGTTTGGTGCAGGAGGCTGCTATGATGTTTCGAGCTCGCGTGCGGCCCTGTAACGACAAGGAACAGGCGTCGGTGTTGTGGACACTACATGAACATCAATACAGCACATTAACAGGACATGGTCAGGGTCAAGGTCAAGTCTTCTGGCAGGTGCCTGCTGAAAATCTTTACTTCAAACTTTATGTGTATAAACAATTAAGTGTGTTGTGTATTATTCAAAGTTCACAGCCACATGGAATCATTTTGTTAATTGATATCTGTCAAGTACATGAAAGAACTTTCTGAAATTGAAAATAGAAAGTTTGGTTGCTGAGGTGAAACATTCCTGTAATGGAAGCAAAGTGAATATCTCCAAGTTTCAGGTAAGGCATTAAAGAAAAATTGTTCTTATGTTACTTAGAATGATTTTAACTTGTATTACTCTGACTGTCACACTGGGAAATTAAAACAAAGCCTGAACGTCAATGTTAAGCTTTATTTCCTGGTGAATTATAAATCTGTGAAGCAATAAAATAAATATCTACAGGATTCACTTTCATTAAACAATTTGAACAAACAATCTCGGGGCCAAAGGTTACACACCAAGTGTCCAACCTCCCATAAAGATACGTTAAGGCTTACAAATATACAGGTGATCAGGCACGAACTGTATCGCTCATATCAGCATCTTCGATCCGCTCTGAGATAAACAATGGCTCCTTAGAGATATGATACAGTATTGGGGAACAACACACTACAATTTCTATTTTCTTTCTGTCTCAAAAGAAATAACCTATCAAAATCAGCACGTCTTTTTACACATTTCAATGCTATGCAATTCTTAAAATTCTGGGATATATGTTGTCATGGTAACCTAATACTTGCATTTCTCAAGCTAACTAACATCGGTGTAAATACTTTTTGGTTAATGCAGCATCAAAAAGACTATCTTGCAACTAATTTTTAATCTAAACTTTGAAATGGAAACATTACTCTCAACTTAAATTTGTTAAAACTTGTTATTTTAGTTATAAAGATAAGCTGCCCATCAGAATCAACCAAGGTGTATTTGGAATCTACCCATTCACTGGCTAACTCAAGTCCAACAGTTGGGTTTTCACATCAATTGTTGTTGTTCTTTTTAAAAATAAATCCTGAACACATGAGATTTTTTGTGATAGAACTCTTGACAAACTTTCATTTATTAAATAGCACACATTTCTATTTACAGGAAAACACATGATTAAAGCAATTATTTACACATTTTAAGCAGGGTTGAAACTAAAGCCAATCACCAGATTTACATATAAAAATGAGCTGGCTCTGCTGCAATTAGGGTTAGAATCAACGAAGATTGCCAGGATAAAAGTTCAAATAAACTTTGATGAACTAATAAAATCCACTTAAAATTTTTGGAATTTAAATATTGAAACAGAAATGATGCCATCTCTTCTGCAACATCAAGAGGTGATACTGCAAACTGGTAACTGTATCCCATGCACCATCACACCTGGCCCAAGACTGTCTATATACTATAGACCTTCATACTGCTTTCCTTATTTACTTCATCTACAGATACCTCCCCCCAGACACAAGGACAGTTGAGATGAAATAAATAAAATGCACAATAATTCCAGGATGTTAAAAGATGACTTGCTTTCCTGTACTGATCCACAAGTTTGTTTTCAAGTTGTAAAATATATCAGATTCCGACAACCATTGCTTCAATATGATTTTGTATTGCCTAATGAAACTGAACATTTTATGTTTTAAATGGACCTTATACATGTATCTGCTAAATTTCTACATGCTGCCAAAAATATTGAGTTGAGGAAAGACTGATACCTCAAAACTAGAATGAAATATGTATAAATATTATAATATACACGTTATTATCTAGAGCCAGGTACCATGATGCATGGGTTGTTAATTCTGCTCTACAAGCCACAGGTAATAAAACACAATAAACACCATCAAACAACACGGTGGAGGAATGCAGGTGATATATCAGCGTTATCACCATGCTAGTGGTTAACAGTGTGAACACCAACCCACTCTGTTCATATACACTGGCAATGTTTGTAAGAGGGTGTTCTGGATACTGAGTACTGTCTACAGTTGTAGCATCCTACAAGTCTGGGGCGGTGTGCTGATGATACGGGCTGTAACGATACACGCTATTGTGATACGACTTGTATGTTGCTAGTAAGATAGTGATACATTAGATTATTCAGTACGGAGTGACTGAAGATATGTGGAACAGTGTTTGTTGCAGCAATACTCCCACGACATCACAAAGCTCAAATAATCATGTTTGAAAGAAAGAGATTATTTTAATTCTTCCCTATTTTTCATCATGTGTTAATAGTTGCAGCAAATCACTCCAAACCACCTGTTGTGTATCGATGCTCATCTTCATAATGCACCCATCATGGCACAACATACTGCAATGTACCAGATGTTTAGTGAATCGTTACAGCCCTGGTGGTGATGATGATGATGATGATGATGATGGTGATGATGATGATGATGACAACGACATGACACTATATACAACAAGATAGGCGCATCTCACACATCTTATCTACACATAGAGAGCAGTATGTGTCCAATACAACTCTCACAATACTATCTGAACAAGCACTAATTTCACCTTCCAGCTGTCAAACAGATCCACATTTGTTTACAATGGAGTATCAGCACATTTCTCGCATCTCTCCTTGTATCTCAAATATGTTCAACATGAAGGAGAAGGATAACTTTTCTTAAGGTGTTAATTTTGAAGAATCAAATAATCTTCAGAGCAAACTATAATATAATCAGACCTTGACCTTGAACTGATGTGTATGTTTCAGCAGAATCCTGCTTACATTCAACTTTTTCGGATTACGTATTTACTGGTTTCACAAAGCCAAACTTTCCCAAACATGGAATAATAAATGAAACATATTTCCAATATTTTAACTTTTGGACAATATTCTGAAGAGACTGTTTTCAAATAATATGTTTAAGTGTTTATGTTAATTCCTCATACTAAAAAATAATATACAAAGCAAACATTTCTAAGAAAGCCGCCTACTATGTTACAGAATAGAATGTGGAATACATATTCCTGGGGACTCTTACTGTAAGTATCCAGTCTAACAGTGCAGGTCCCATCCTCATGTGCTGGGACCACAGCCAGCACATGAGGATGGGATCCTGATTCTGAGAAATATGTTTATGCGATTTTATTCCTATTAATATTTGAAAATACATTTCTCTTCAGCAGTATGTACAGAATAGTTGTACCTCCAGTCTGCTTCTGACGGTAGTGACGTACACTGATAAATACTGGCAGCGACTCTATGTACAGCACTAGCAACAAGCCACACATTCTCTCACATTCAACACCAACCTTCCATCAACATGCAATACATGCTACTTCAGTAGTTTCATACTCTTCTACTTTTTCACCTTCAACTTTTCCATGTAAAAAGCAGAACTGTTTTCATACGTAGGCTTGTGGCAACATTCATGGAGCTCAACAACAAAATAAATAAATAAACTGGAGACAAATATGTTTTAAGGTACTCCCTGAATAGGGAATCCATTTAGTGTAATAAATAACGATCATTAAAATATGAGTAGAATTTTGTGATACATATTTTATTTTGCCTCTCATTCTGCTTGTTTTTTCAGCGGAGAGATATGGAAACAACCCAAAATGTAGTGATTGAATAAGATACTTACTCTTCTTCATGGAAACTTTATTGGGAACTGCTATTTTAAGATAAATATCATCAGAATTTTCCAAACATTTGTCTCATAATCCAAACAACTTTCTAACACTCTTGAATGATAAATCATCTTTCCAATCACATAGATTTCCCCAAACAAAACAGTCATCACAAAGAAAGCTAAAATATTTAGTCTGGAAAAATTGGAGCATAAAAATATCCCCTGTAAGAGGTTGTTCAGTCCTGCAACATCTTTCAAACTCTCTCCAGCTTCGTCTACGCAACCTTCCTGAGGACAACTTACATCAACACATCGACAAACGTTCATAAAATATCCATCTGGCTTTGTACAACACAGTTCCACACTAACTCAACACAAATATTTACATCACTATGTTTTTTTCCGAAATTTGTTAAAAAAACCAAACATACAAATTTGTCACCACAAAATGTTGAAGTTAAAAAAATGCGAAATCTACCTGGAATACCTGTCATATTTCTAACCGACATAGTACATCTACCTAGGTTGTTGTGGTCAATACACAGACCAATTCACATCGGCCACCTGGTGTGACCACTGGGCATGGGAACGAGGGAAGATAACTCTGTAAATTTGAGAAACTAGTACATCTGCTGTACAAGTACTGTAGAACTGCAGTACAACTGTGGTACAACTGTGGTACAAGTGCTGTACAACTGTGGTACAACTATGATTAGTAGTCTCTTGCTATTACTAATCTAAACAAGTTTAGTCTGCAGTTGAAGATCAGGCACAAATCAGGACAGAACATGTTACTGATTCAGGTTATATAAACAATTATTACACGACATGTGATACTGGTTTATGTTATCAGGCCACATGATATCAGTAGAAGCCTGATATCAATGTTATCAGGCTAAACATTGTCACTACAATCTGATATTAATGTTATCAGGCGACATGATATCGTCACTACAATCTGATGTTAATGTTATCAGGCGACATGATATCATCGTCACTACAATCTGATATTAATGTTACCAGGCGACTTGATATCGTCACTACAATCTGATATTAATGTTATCCGGCGACATGATATCGTCACTACAATCTGATATTAATGTTATCAGGTGAGATGATATCATCACTACAATCTGATATTAATGTTATTATTGATACATCAAACATCATTAGCATACAAACAAACGCACGCAACCATGGTTACTAGAATTGCTGCATCTTAAAATTGCACGAATCTCAAATTTTAGTAAATATTCAAACATGCTGCCATGGGAAGTGTTAAACGAAATAACTATCTGAACTCTTAACGGTATCTGAACGGCCAATGTAACTTAAAACCTTCAACACGGAAGGAAGGCGAATCGACATGGCAACCAACATGACTGGCGTGAGACATCCACGTGTAAGATCTCTGCCAGGGACAATGACAATGATTTGGTGAATTAATCTAGATAACGGCGAGGCAGCACTACCTCACGGCGGGGACGCTTTCTGCTGGGGCCATCTTCGTCATCATCATCATCGTCATCATCGCTGCTGTCTGTTAAGGCCCGTTTGCCACTGCGACTCATCACGTGAGGGGGGGACTTTGGGATGATCGTGGCCCGCACTTGTGGCAGGACTCTCTAAAGAAACAAGCCATGGTGAGTCAGTAAACAGTTCAAATCAAATATTTATTCATTGCACAAAAGGCCTCATAAAAAAATACAGTTTTGTATAATTCTAAAACTGGACGCAATCATATACACGTAGTATTATTGTAACGGGATCATCCAAATTTCCCTTGTGTGTTTCTGTAAGAGAAAGAGTAGTATACTATTATTTAAACTTCCATTCATTGTAGGGCAGAGATGACAACCCCAAAGTGTTGCCAATAGTAGTTTCAACGTCAAAAGCTAGTGAGTGAGTATGGTTTTACGCCGCTTTTAGCAATATTCCAGCAATATCACGGCGGGGGACACCAGAAATGGGCTTCACACATTGTACCCATGTGGGGAATCAAAAGTTAGTAGTTTGACCATAATTAGTTGTCACCTAATGACACTAATCAAGAGTGAAGCTTTAATTTCACACACCTCCAACAGCCGATTTCCAGATGATCAGTATTACATTTATTCTTCTTTTTGGCAAAAATGTATTTAATCAACGAAAATATATGTTTTCGTCTATATATATGAATTTTAATGAATTTTCTTCAAATGATCATATTACATTTATTCTTCTTTTGGCAAAAATGTATTTAATCAGAACGAAAATATATGTTTTAACTTCGATATTGCTTTTTTCGGGTGACAAGTATATGAATTTTAATGAATTTTCTTCAAATTTCATATAAATTCTGGTGCAATCATATTGGCATAGTTCGAGGCTAAAACTGGTAGCGACTACGATAAAATCGTAGAGGTTGGCATCTCTGGTAGGGACGTTCAAAAAGATTATAGGCAATGACAGGTAGCCAAGTGGAGCAGGGTGCTTTATCTAGTGAATATGGAACTTCTGAATTCCACCTGAAGCCTGAGATGCTTCTAGAACTGCACTTACCTTGACTGTGTCAGCTGATTGAAGACGTCTCACATGTTTCAGTCTATCTCTCTTCAACGCCCTCTGTTGGCTAACTCGATGTTGGATTGCTTTTTTGACAAGTGTTTCTCTCTTGATGAGTTTCCGTGGTGTGGGGATGGGAGTAGATGAGGGTGAGGGTTTCGGGGCTGCTGGTGTTTCCTTAGATGTGACTCTCTTCCCCTCCACGGCCTTCACTGGTGCCATCTTTGTGTTGTTGTTTTCCAAAGTCGCCTCCATCTCGACCTCCTCCTTCACTTCGAGGTCACCCACACTGCTGGCAGATGACCTTCTACTGTCGATTCCTTTAGGTCGCCCAACTGGTTTAGGTGTTTTAGGCTAAAACAACAAAACAATAAATACTCCATAGACAATACAACAAGAAGAAACTAAAAAACAGCATACAGTTGAAATATACATGACATCCTTTGTTCAGAATGATTTTGAACCATTTTATGTCCTTTTACTTTGACAATGCCAGATCTATGCAACAACAATCTGACTGACCATCCAGCTATCTCTCATAATTTACTGAATTCATCTCAAGTCTCTAACCCTTTCAGAAATGTCCCTGCTGTAACTGGACTTGCTGAGAGTTACCTCCCTTGAGCTGGCTGTTTTCCATCTTCACAACCCACAGTCTGAGTTACCTACCTTCAGCTGCCCCTGTTTTCCTTCGTTACAACATTTGGCGCATTCCCAGCTGTTAGGGAGGTCTTCGTTGACGATGCCATCATTGTCAAGAGAGTCGTACTTCTCCTTGAGACAGGCGGGATGGACAATCTCCCAGCAGAGGCTGCACTCCATGACGATGGTCTCTATCTCATCTGGGTTGTCCTCACTTGCCATCTTACCATCCTTCTCACAGATACAGCAGGTGACTGTGTGCGGCAACACAGGCTGCCAACAGCAGAGAGGTGAAAACATCAAGGGTGAACTTATATGAAGTTGTGGAAACAAATTAAATCAATTTGTTTCAACGTTAATGACAAGCCTCAGCATGATTGATAACATGCCATCAGTAGCTAAATGCTTGGTATGTTAATGCTTATATGAGAGCTTCAGGAATATTGGCAAAAAGAATTATTGATGCTTTACTGAAAAAAGAGACAATGACTGTCACAAATTTGAAATATTCCGAACATAAGAGACATTGTTGAAATCAACACGGGACTGAACTCAGGGGGACTAACACAGGGGGACTGAACACAGGGGGACTGAACACAGGACTGAACACAGGGCAACTGAACACGGGACTGTACACAAGGGACTGAACAAAAGGGACTGAACACAGGGCAACTGAACACAGGGGACTGAACACGCAACTGAACACAAGGGACTGAACACAGGTGACTTACAGCCATACACTTCCTGCTGATACAGGACTGTTTCATCCTGCCTGGGCCTCCGAACTTACGCATGTCTTTACAGAAGTTACACTCCCCGCAGTCGGACCTTGTACACGCCTCGCACTTCTTGCACCGTGTCCGTCGCCGACGGTTACCTGACGCCACTTTGCTTGCTGTGCAGCCTTTTGTTGTCTTCCCTCCTACGTATGTCGTTGTTGTTTTCAATTTCTTCACTTTCTGGAAAGCAGAGAGTCAAAAGAGTGAATAACGAGACAAAGGCTGTTTTCACTGGGTTATGCAAGATCTACAAATACACACAGCTTACAGCTGATCTACAAATAAACCCAGCCTACAGCTGATCTACAAATACATGCAGCCTACAGATGATCTACAAATAAACCCAGCCTACAGATGATCTACAAATAAACCCAGCCTACAGCTGATCTACAAATACATGCAGCCTACAGCTGATCTACAAATAAACCCAGCCTACAGCTGATCTACAAATACATGCAGCCTACAGCTGATCTACAAATACACCCAGCCTACAGCTGATCTACAAATACATGCAGCCTACAGCTGATCTACAAATACACCCAGCCTACAGCTGATCTACAAATACATGCAGCCTACAGCTGATCTACAAATACATGCAGCCTACATATGATCTACAAATACACGCAGCCTACAACTGATCTACAAATACACCCAGCCTACAGCTGATCTACAAATACATGCAGCCTACAGCTGATCTACAAATACACCCAGCCTACAGCTGATCTATAAATACATGCAGCCTACAGCTGATCTACAAATACATGCAGCCTACAGCTGATCTACAAATAAACCCAGCCTACAACTGATCTACAAATACATGCAGCCTACAGCTGATCTACAAATACATGCAGCCTACAGCTGATCTAAAAATACACCCAGCCTACAACTGATCTACAAATACATGCAGCCTACAGCTGATCTACAAATACACCCAGCCTACAGCTGATCTACAAATACATGCAGCCTACAGCTGATCTACAAACACATGCAGCCTACAGCTGATCTACAAATACATGCAGCTTACAGCTGATCTACAAATACACCCAGCCTACAGCTGATCTACAAATACACCCAGCCTACAGCTGATCTACAAACACATGCAGCCTACAGCTGATCTACAAATACATGCAGCCTACAGCTGATCTACAAATACATGCAGCCTACAGCTGATCTACAAATACACCCAGCCTACAGCTGATCTACAAATACACCCAGCCTACAGCTGATCTACAAACACATGCAGCCTACAGCTGATCTACAAATACATGCAGCCTACAGCTGATCTACAAATACATGCAGCCTACAGCTGATCTACAAATACATGCAGCCTACAGCTGATCTACAAATACATGCAGCCTACAGCTGATCTACAAATACACCCAGCCTACAGCTGATCTACAAATACATGCAGCCTACAGCTGATCTACAAACACATGCAGCCTACAGCTGATCTACAAATACATGCAGCCTACAGCTGATCTACAAATACATGCAGCTTACAGCTGATCTACAAATACATGCAGCCTACAGCTGATCTACAAATACATGCAGCCTACAGCTGATCTACAAATACATGCAGCCTACAGCTGATCTACAAACACATGCAGCCTACAGCTGATCTACAAATACACGCAGCCTACAGCTGATCTACAAATACACGCAGCCTACAGCTGATCTTCAAATACATGCAGCCTACAGCTGATCTACAAATACACCCAGCCTACAGCTGATCTACAAATAAACCCAGCCTACAGCTGATCTACAAATACATGCAGCCTACACATGGTAGACGGGGAGTACCTTGGTTGTTTCTGGCACCCAACACGTTGGCTCTCCGCTTGCTGCTGCCTTCGTGTTGTCATATTTGTGATCTGCCAGAAGTTGCTGCAATGGAAGTTGAACAGGAGGCGTTATAACATGCCGTATCACACTGTCACTCAGATCTGCGTTATGGTGATTCAGGAATAACACTGACTGCAACAGCACTTCAGGTTGAAATAGCACTTCGGGAGGACTGCCTAAAGATGTAGGTCATAGTGAAACCGCATCATTATGATGTTGACATACCCAGCAACAGGAACTGGTTGGCCAGGACGGGAACATATGATCATCGGTTTCAAGTACACCTAGGAGACAACTCTCTAACCATTGATGACTTGGCCACTCGTTCTGTATGGCAACAACAGATGCAGGCTTTCATATCTCACCTTGATGTCTCTCAACACAGCATCAGGATCCAGGAGATCTTTGGGTACGCGACGCTTGTTGAGCGGTAAATTCTCCACCTTCTCTACCAGCTTGGCAAGTCCTTCCAACTCAAACTTGGTCAAATGTACCCATCGTCGCCCACTGTCGCCACTTCTCTTGTCCATGTCACCATTTTCAGCGAAACCATTTTCTGAATGTACTGAATCTGTGGACAGTTTCCGAACAGATCTGGAATTCCTCAACGATTCATCATCACTTTGTGATTTCTTGATGCCAGAGTCATCAATTCTTGTCAGTGGGATAGTAACACTCTTGGATAGTTTCTGTTCTTCATCCTTCTCAAGCTTCAGCTTGGAGAAGTCAACCGGCGAATGTTCCTCTGGGTTCCGGGAAGGGGGGCGGGAGTCTGGGTTCCGGGAAGGTGGCCGGGAATCATCGCTGGTGAAGAATGATCCCGGAGATTCTGGCTGCTCGTCAAGGTCGACCTTGTCAGGTTTCTTCAGGTACGACTTCTTGCCCACACATTCCACGTAACGAGTCAATACGTACCACATGATCTCGTTGTAAAATGGATATCGGAATTTCTGGGGAACCTGATAGGCAAAAGATGTATGAGGATTAAAGAATGATGAACACAGCGTATAATACTCTGGTCAATATACACTGCTCAAAAGAAGCTAAGGAACATCCCCCAAAAGGAAGGCTGTACGTTGCATTACCTGCCAGCCTGGACAGGTCAACTATCACGAAACTCATCCAAAAAATCAATGAAACGTGTGATCATTTTACAAGGGGGGGGGGCAACTCACATGTGTTTTATCTTCTACATCGGCCACTCGCAGCTGCTGGAGGATGTTGAAGCTGTGGAGGAAGTTACCTCCAAACACCAGAGAGTCCCGCGGAGTGTACACGGCGTGGATCCAACCTGGTCAGCAAAATAGGATATGTAGGATATTTTACGGTGGACAGCAATACACCGTATGGGTTTACAGTATATTCAGCCATTAAACAGAGAGCTGTTTGGAAGAGAGGCTAGGACAGAGAAACCAGGTGTTAACAGTGAGAGCACTTGTGCTGGTATCAGGGCTCCAGATAAGGGCCGCATCGGAGTATGTACGGATACAATATATGCACGATACAGTAGGAAATAATGTAGAAAACGTAGCAGGTATGCACCACAGCAATGGTGTACAGTCTTAGAATCATTTACAGACGTATTTATCTGAAAACATTTAGTTTTAATGTTTAGTGATTTTCTACCTGTTTGCACAAGAGTACTGAGTAGCAATGTCATGGTGCATATATGAAACGAAACACAAGATTACTGGTACTCCATTAAATTCCATTCAGTACTCTAAATGTACTCTAACGTTTTTCCAGTACTCCTATATTAAAAAAATAAGGAGTATGTACTCCTGATGTTGACAAATTATCTGGAGCCCTGTGGTATGGATTGGTTGTCATTCCCTGGTGAGCAGCCACTGTGCCCTTCCAACCACCACAGCAGAACTTCCCAACTTAGGATCCTCCAGGTTTTAAGGCATTACGCTACATTTCTCCTAAAGACCTACCTAGGTGCAAATTGTGGTCAAGAAATATTTATGTTTCATACAAGAACTTCTCTGTAAAACAGAGCTCCAGATAAGATTTAGCTCATGTGGGTACTGTACCCACTGTATATTTTTGGAGTGGGTATTATGAATGTTGAGTGGGTATTTCATTTTCCGTTACCCACTGCTTTCAAATATGTGCGTATTTCAGTCATTTTACTCACCTAAGTATTATGTCATTGAGTAAGTTTGCTAAGCAGGTATGTTCTGCCTTATGTCATACCTAATCAAAACCAACTTAAATATAATGGAAAGGATTTCATAAAAAATCATTCGTCCTATACTGACAGTACAACACTTGTCCTATACTAACAGTACAACTTGATAGCAATCGATGTCTTTTTCATAAGGCATGCGATTTTTATAAATATATTCCGTACGCATTTGTTTTAAACTTTTTGCGTATCTAACATTTTAAATGCGTAATTGGTACGCAAGAATTATTTTTCAATGCGTAATTGGAAATTTTCTATGCGTATTTTACCCGGATACGAAGCTTATCTGGGCCTCTGGTAAAAGCATCTTGCATAGATGAACTGTGTCCATGAGTTGCAAGGGATCAAAATATGAGGTTGAAATACCTCTGAATTTTAGAAGGTCCAACTCAAAATTACACATGCCCAAATTACCCCTAACTTAACTGGAATCGTACACAAAACACTGTTACAGAGTGAGTACGGTCAAGCTGGCATCTATTACAGCTATATCACTGTGTCCATGGCTGGACCAGACGAACCTGTGACAGAATCTGGCCAGCATCAAGGACAAGGACAAAATGGGCTTCACAAATTGTACCCATGATGGGTCCTACCAGGTGTTGATGGAACGGTCCAACTACCAGGTGTTGATGGAACGGTCCAACTACCAGGTGTTGATGGAACGGTCCAACTACCAGGTGTTGATGGAACGGTCCAACTACCAGGTGTTGATGGAACGGTCCAACTACCAGGTGTTGATGGAACGGTCCAACTACCAGGTGTTGATGGAACGGTCCAACTACCAGGTGTTGATGGAACGGTCCAACTACCAGGTGTTGATGGAACGGTCCAACTACCAGGTGTTGATGGAACGGTCCAACTACCAGGTGTTGATGGAACGGTCCAACTACCAGGTGTTGATGGAACGGTCCAACTACCAGGTGTTGATGGAACGGTCCAACTACCAGGTGTTGATGGAACGGTCCAACTACCACACTACCCCACCGCCATACCCTCACACGGAGACAAGTCTCCTGCACATGATGACTAAGATATCCTCTGACCTGAAGGAATGATGAATGTATCGCCGGCCTGGAGATGGATCTTCTGACACTCAGACACCTGGTCTGGGAGGAATATGTCGCCTTGTTTGGCAGACAGCACCCAGTTTTCGTACAGCTCCACATTTGCCTCTGTCGGGGGAATGAGCCAGAATATCTTCTCCCCATGGAGGATGTGGTACCACACAGAGGTGCCTCCGAAGTCGATGTGGAAGTCTGTGTAGCACCCCGCCACACTCATCAGGCAGTATCTGGGAACAACAGTGAGTGAGTGAATGAGTGAGTGAGTTGGGTTTGCTGCTGCTTTGAACATTTCATTTAACCATGGCATGTCAGATTGATTCGGCAAAGTTTGGAAAGTGAAGTCTATAACTTTACGAAGAATGAGTTTGCTGTGATGGGTCTTACTTCTGGACTTTGGGGTACTTCATCTTCTCAATGATGTTGGTGGATTCTGTCTGGCAGTCCTTGAGATGCCTCGGCCACACCCTGTCCACCCAGTCGACCTGCCGCACCTGTAGCGACACACATTGCATGTAGTAACACACCCGTGCAGTAACACACATACTCCACGCATGTAGTAACACATATACTCCACGCATGTAGTAACACATACCCTTAGTAACACATCCATGCAGTAACATATAATCCACACATGTAGTAACACATATCCTCCATGCATGTAGTAACACATATAGACTCGACGCATGTAGTAACACATCCCCTTAGTAACACATCCATGCAGAAACATATACTCCACACATGTAGTAACATATATACTCCACACATGTAGTAACACATGTACTCCACGTATGTAGCAACACATATACTCCACACATGTAACACATATACTCTACACATGTAGTAACATATATACTCCACACATGTAGTAACACATGTACTCCACGTATGTAGCAACACATATACTCCACACATGTAACACATATACTCTACACATGTAGTAACACATATACACCACACATGTAGTAACATATATACTCCACACATGTAGTAACACATATACTCCACACATGTAGTAACACATATACTCCACACATGTCACACATATACTCCACGCATGTAGCAACACACGTACTCCACACATGTAGTAACACATATACTCCATGCATGTAGTAACACATCCCTTTAGTAACGTAACACATCCATGCAGTAACATATACTCCACACATGTAGTAATACATATACTCTACACATGTAGTAATATATATACTCTACACATGTAGTAACACATATACTCTACACATGTAGTAATATATATACTCCACACATGTAGTAACACATATACTCCACACATGTAGTAATACATATACTCCACACATGTAGTAATATATATACTCCACACATGTAGTAACACATATACTCCACACATGTAGTAATACATATACTCCACACATGTAGTAACACATATACTCTACACATTTAGTAATATATATACTCCACACATGTAGTAATACATATACTCCACACATGTAGTAACACATATACTCCACATATGTAGTAATATATATACACCACACATGTAGTAACACATATACTCCCCAAATGTAGTAACACATATACTCCACACATGTAGTAACACATGTAATCCATGCATGTAGCAACATATATACTCCACGCATGTAGCAACATATATACTCAACACATGTAGCAACACATGTACTACACACATGTAGCAACACATGTACTACACACATGTAGCAACACATATACTCCATGCATGTAGCAACATATATACTCCACGCATGTAGCAACACATATACTCCATGCATGTAGTAACATGTATACTCCATGCATGTAGTAACATATACTCTACACATGTAGTAACACATATACTCCACGCATGTAGTAACACATATACTCCATGCATGTAGTAACATATATACACCACACATGTAGTAACACATATACTCCACACATGTAGTAACACATATACTCCACACATGTAGTAACGCATATACTCCACGCATGTAGTAACATATATACTCCATGCATGTAGCAACATATATACACCACACATGTAGCAACATATATACTCCACACATGTAGTAACATATACTCCACACATGTAGTAACACATATACTCCACGCATGTAGTAACATATATACACCACACATGTAGTAACGCATATTCTCCACGCATGTAGTAACACATATACTCCATGCATGTAGTAACATATATACTCCACAAATGTAGTAACATATATACTCAATTGAATGCAATCTAAATGAGATCTTGGTGCTCAATACCATTACACAAAGATCTGAGAACGTCCCATCAGCCTTTCATCCACCCAATCAAGAGTTTCGCCTACAAACTGTAATAGAATGTCCACAGATGTTTGTTTAGGCCAAAACAAAAATATATGTACGTTTCCTATTACATGCTTTTTAAAAATAGGGTAGGTGGGTCGGGTTTTTTTGGGTTTTTTTTACTTTTTTTTTTTTTTTAAATAGCACCAGGTGGGCACCTGAGAAGGTCTTCAAGGATACCATATGACCTAGTGATAATGCCTTGTGATGAAACATTGACAGATTTTTATATCAAATCATTATTCATGTTATTTATTTGCAGGTTTTATCAGTGAGAGCCCATTATGCCAATTCGATGCATTCCATTTTAGCCCTACGTACACTGAAAAACATGAAAATATCATACTTGATTTGGATGAAAATGATGAGTTGAAATGCACTCCAGTCATGATTTTGACTTGGTTAAAAAAAGATTTAGGGTCGGGTGGATTAGGATAGAGTCGGTCGGGTTACCGGAAACAGACATATTTTGGGGGGCCTTAGTAGTGATGAGAAGTAAGATGTGTCACTGCTAAGGCCGTAACACATATACACATACCATTCACTGCAGTGTGGAGGTTATACCCCATAAAGGTTGCCATGGTTACATACCAGCGTAGGCGACTCGACGTAGTTCTCCAAACGTGTGTGGCTGAACTCCAGACTGATGACGTTGAGGAGGCGGTCACGCTTGATGTTCTCGTAGTACCGCACCCAGTCCTTCATCGTCATCTCCAGGCCCTTCTGGGTGTTGACGTCCATGACGTCCAGCATCCGTCGACTTCCTGCATCATCAACAACATCCTCCTTCAGCGTAACGAGCCATTTGTATCAGCAGGGGGAGGGGGTTGTTACACAAAAACATTTATTTGTGTAAGTGGGGTGGAGTGGTCTATCAGTTACATTAAATTACAAAAAGTTATGAAAAATAGTGTGTGGGTTCTTGAGCCCATCAGATGCTGTATTTCTAAAACAATTAAGCTTTTTCTTTAACACCTTGATTTTTTACAATCAAAGCCCAAAAGAAACCCCACACAAAAGTAATACATATACCCTAGTCCATCCTTTTGTGTGTAGAGTGAGTGAGTGAGTGAGTGAGCGACCTTCATTTAACGCTGCTTTGAATAATATTCCTGTTTTATCACAGTGTCCGCTAAGAGTGGGAGAAAAACTATCAGGGTTCTCAAAAACGTCAAGACATATCACAACTTGTCAGCATGGAAGGAAAGCCCAGAGAGATGCGGATCCTTCAACTGAACAACTTCAGTGACACCAATGAGCCACATGTGGTACTGAATAAAACCAAGGAAGTACTGGATCCTTCATGGCCTGGCAACATTACACCAGTAGGTACTGAACCATATCTCCAGGACACTCACCCACACACTGTTTAACATCGCTGACCTTGAAGTTTTCACTCGGAACCCTGAAAAAGGAAAGCTCTTCGTTGAAATTTGGTATCCCTTTCTATACATAAACGTTACACATATGCATACACATGTAAATATATTCTTACATCAACAAACTTTCATTAACCAAACATACAGCATTTATCGATAAAACCAGGTTGTAATCCAACTAAGATAGAATCAGTCACCTCATTCCAAGCCCTGTCTTGTCCTTGAAGAGTATTGGTTGCAGCAGGCCATTCTCCTGGACAAACTTCAGGGTGAATTCTGAAACATGAGCATGGACAGAGTGAAGGCTGTGTTGTGTCTTAGTAGTACAAGATATAACATTGTTACAGACGGTAGCCTACATACTGGTACATGGTATAACATTGTTACAGACTGGAGCCACACACTGGTACATGGTATAACATTGTTACAGACTGGAGCCACACACTATTCCATGGTTTAACACTGATACTGACCGGGTCCCTTCATGTATTGGACATAGTTTCCCTTGTAGGTGCTGCGCAGGAGTTTGTCCTCGATGTTGTAGTTGCGCTTTCCCTCAATCTCATCATCATCGATGTCTTCATCGGTGTAGTGCTTCCGCTCTTTCGCTCTCTGTAGTGACAAAAGTATTTCATGTTAACTGTTTGACTACATGAGTGAGTGAGGTCAAGGTGAGCTACGACAGGCCACACCATGACTCAAAGATGTTAACAAACAAGTGGAGTTGGTTGAAGTACTCCGTCCTGTAAAATCTTTATTCATTGAGTTACCTCCCTTAGCACTGGGTTGAGCTATGGTCACACAGCATCAGACAGGCAGCGGAAGTATTTTTAATTTTTTTTTTAGTAATGACTACAGTACATGCAGAGAGCACGCACACACGCACACACACACACACCTCATTGCAAAATTCCGATACTCATTAAAATTTACTGAAACATATTTTATGATATGTTGATAAAATGACACAAATGGATATTGCTTGAAACATTTTATTAAAACCTGAATGTCATGAAACAGCCTTGGAAACCTTAAACCATAAACAGCTGATCAGTTACCATATCATGCACTGTTACAGACATTTCCTTGTGCACAGACGAAATGTCCATCAGGAAAAGTCTAACTCTTTAGTTATATCAGTGACATCTGTTTAAAAAGTTTCTTTCAGACACACATTCCTCACTGGGGTGTACCTCGCTACGACTTGCAGCTCAATGATCTTTCCGCAATAAATATTCCAATTCAGAAAAACATAAAACGTAAAATTTCATGACTTTTTTTCACTCAGCAATGAAAAAGAATATTTCATTACAACACGTGCTGGTTACAACTAGATCCACCAAGAGACGAGTCAAAATAGGTCATGAATAAAACTTGTGTCACTCGTATTCCTCAGGTAGTCATAACAACCAAAAACTGCACTTTCTTCACAGACCGGCTGGTGTGAGATCCACAACAATCTTCGTCAATATGTCAAATGAACCCGTATCCAAATAAACTTTGTCCAAGGACCCATCCGTTATCACTCACAAAATATGTGTCTAATTTCACATTTCTCGTTCAAAGCATTATTCAGAAAGCGGTAAATTATTGACGTAATTACAGAAGCGCGTACAGGAAGACGTGATTCTTGAATAATACATAGACAGGAGAGGTGCTGTTATAACCCGGACGTGAGGTTTGAGTGTTCAACTATGTATTGAAGACATTAGACGTGTAAAGAACTTACTGTTTGAATAAACCTACTAGAGTCGTCACCCCCTGACCTAGCTTCAACATCGTCTGTGAAGACATCACTCTCCTCGGGGACTACAGCCGGGCCCGCGTCCTCTCCACGATTCTCCTCCACACATTTCAATGTAGCCATGCTGACGCGCTGACGATGTGAAACTGCGGTAACTATCTACCCCCAGCTGGGCCTGGGTCACACTAGGTAATGCCTTGACTATGACAAAAATACTCGACAGAACAACTGCACATCACAAGAAAAGATTCCACGGAAATACCACACAATCCACTCACGATACTAAACGTCCATATTTCAAAAGCGCTGTGGTCTTGCTCAAATCTCAAAAGCATTAAAATTTCCAATATTATTTTCATAACACCACCATTTGGAGCAATGCAAATTTTCTAGCAAAAATCTCACAAAGTTACATCAATTAAGGGTTATCAGCAAAACGGTCATTAAGAAATCAATAAATGGGTTTCACGTAAAGTTGATTACATAACCGAGACTAGCGCTAAGTCTACATAGCGCGGCGCTGAGGCGGAAACACGAGTGCAGCTAAAGGTGAAGGTCGGGTTATTACTGGAGTGCAGTGTTGCGTCCCGCGCTCTGCACTGTCAACACAATATAACGGTATTGTATAGAGACGGCCGTGTCAACGTCACCTGTGCATGCCTGTGAACAGAAATATTCTCGCTTAACTGCAGCACTCTTCAAATAACTCACGTTTGTTGGAACTACGCGAGTAAAAGTAAAATATATGTTGCAGCGTTTATTCAATATTGCTTAAAGGTATAATATTCATATTCACATACTAAGAATATAATGATTGAATAGACACCTTTCCCCAATCATTTGATACACCAGCACGAACACATCGATCTGTTGGATTCGTTAAGCATCAGTGCTCTGCAAATTTATTTCAGGTCAACAAAGGAACCTTTAAACAATAACACTCTAACATAACTGTTGCAAATTAATTGCTTACACATAAGTAATAATCTAGTCTGGAGCAGACAATCCCGTGGTTGATACAAAAAATATCAGATCGTTTCCATGAATCTTACTGAGCTCACACTCGCGGAATTACGGTTCAAAACAATATCAGCAACATTCAACACGACTTATATGTTATTTCCCCATATTTGCATATCAAACAAAAGAAGGAAAACACACTGTAATGAACCGATTAGTGTAGAAACACACAACCGCTACATGTTTCTGGTAAAATCGATTCGAGAAAGGTTCAGAGAAGCCTTATATGCGGTGATAAGATTATGCCCTTTCCGTCAAACACAGGAACAACGTTCCTGGCACACGTCCGCGTGATACTATCACCTATTACGGGTAAAACGAAATGAGCGAGTGAGTTAATATTTAACGTGACATCGGCAATATTTCAGCCATACCGTGACGAAAATAAATTAATTTACATCAATATTAAAATCAATAAAGTTAGAATGTAAAAAGCTGTGGAAAACGACATGAACGGAACAGAATATATAAAACTGTTGACACCAGATCATCCCTGGACTGACATCTTCTGAGCATCAAGTCCAGTGATAAATCTACAGATTTACAGAGATCTTTCGATAGTATTTCTGTTTTTGATCAAAGAATATTTACGTACAAAGTATGAACTGTGACTGCCTCGAAATTGATTGGCATTTTAGAAGTTGATGAATAATAAGAAAGGTACGATATTTTATGATGCCACGTTTCGGTATAGATTCTTATACCGTTGTCAAGCATGGGTGATCAACTTGTGTGTGTTTTCGGTATATCAGAAAAACACGACACCCGAAGGTATATCAGAATAGTCGTTCTTGTTTAACGGAATAACTGTTCACGGCCACGTGTCAGGTCGCACCGCATGGAACATATTGCTGTGTTTCCTCTACTCGTAGCAGATGCACAGCCAAACACTATCAATTATATCGATTTTTATTACAGTACTATTCATTTTTTTCTTTGATTTTCTATTGTTATCGGGATAACATGTTTTCTTTCAAAGACATAATGGTCGATATGGTCACGTGACACTGTAGCCACTGAAGCGGCAATATCATCGGGTCTCGTCTGCTGTGACATCTCGGACATGGCAAACAAATAGACGTGGAACTGAAAACACTTTCAAGACATTTCCTGGTCAGATTCTGTTCAAATCAAACAAATCACTAGCAGTAAAACTAGAAGACAACACAGGCCGGGGTATAGAGTGCTCAAAAGAAGTTAAGAACCAGCCGACTGATTCATTTAGCTATAGTCCATCTGTCATGGTATCACAAATGCACGAATCTGATTGTCCTTGTGTTCTTTTGAGTAGCATATTTGTATGCAGTGTAAAGTCCGAGACAAGTCTACATTAAGTCTAGATCTCCTAGTGTTCATGTCTGAGATTGTTTTGAGATTTTATTATACACGAATACAAAAAGAGAATTTTACAATAAATCTTTCAATATTTGCATTTCAGACTTCATATTCGTTCACTTTCTTTCAAAAGATCAAAATAACTGACTGACCCATAACGTATTTAGAATGATGGGTTATTAATGCTGTTCCACAGAGGACCCAGTGGAGCGAATGTACATTATCGCCCCCGAGTTTGTATCAATTTTACAACGGTATCTATTACAAAAAGTCGAAAGAAAGTCTCCTCCATTGTTCGCCCAGCCATTACTGTACAACAATACGGAGAAAAGTCATTGTTGTTTCCAGTGTGTCCAATTTACTTGGGTCTGATAGTAGTCATATCGTAGTGGGAAACCAAACGATATACATCCCGAACAGGGGCTAGCGCATGCAAAGCAAGCGCCCAGAACGAGAGCAACGTAACCGAGGCAGCAGCTGCGGATGCAGCGTAATGATTGAACAACAGCTTGAGACGTTATCCATGGAAATATGAACCTCCAGGCTCAGTGTATCACACAGTAGCTGGAAAACAGTCCATTCACAGAGCCCGGTCATACCATGGACTGATAACGACCTTTTATCATATGTTTAACACAGGCTTTAACAACTATTATTTTCCAGCCGGGGTGTTTATAACGAGCCCAACATTCGGAGCCCTCAGCGAGACGTGGGACAATCTAAGCCACCTTAGCGGGCACGTATGATTCGTCCATGGCGTCTTGTTTAGTCTGTCAAAATTAGTCCTGACAAATACATTGTGAAGTAACCATAAAACGTGATTCCAAGGTCAAGCGCCAACACGTGACTGTACTCAGCTGATCTACATGCTTACCTGAAGTATAATGAAATACCGCCAACTGTATATTTGCATATATAATGTATATCTGAAACCGGATCCTGCATTAATTTTCTGGTGAAACATGAAAATATGTTTTGAAACAAAAAATATCAGCATGTAGAAACTGACATCGATTATCCTCTGGAATAAGACTATGTCCCAAATATGCCTCTGTTAAAAAAGTATTGCAATGGTAACCGGTAGAATAACATGCCTGGTAATCTTCCAGCGACTTCCAGGCAACTTGGGTTGTATGTTCCTTAGGGAGAAAAGGAAATTCTAATGTACTGACCGGAGTAATATTGCGCTTTCGGCATGATATCCTGCGATATAAAATAAATATTATTTAATGACAGTAGTAATCTGAGCTATTTGATCAACTACACGCTCTGTCTATAAGCATGACGTGATCTGGACCAGCTACAGACTATCCAAAGAAACACTGTTCTTGCACCAACGGTACAGTAACTGATCCAGACCCTGAAGTCAATATACCTAACTTATCCCAGGCAATTCTATAATGGCTGGCAAGTCTAGACTAGCGTAGTTTCTTGACTTCTATTTACTAAATTTCATTAATATTATTTTCTTTACCAACAGTTTTTGTGTAAGATACATAGTCATTTCAGAGAT